CTGTATTTATGTTTATTTTATACCATATGCTGATTGACTCTTTTCTTTATAAATTCCATCTTCTCAAGTCTCCCACACTCACTAGGTCAGAATAGGAAACAGAACCCAGGACAATGAAAGATCGCTTTATCATTCCAACATAGTTATAGGGTGTATCACCATTTATACAGTAGATATATGCTTAAAGGTTGTACACTATTATAAATGAAAGTTTTATCGATCAGTCTTTTATTTTCCTTATTCATGTATACATATTTTTGTGCTTATTGCATGCCAAGTACTCTTAACACCGAGAACTTGAGTTATAGAACAATATGAAAGTGACCATAAGTGTTTTTAAAAGGATAAAAGGATTAAAAACCTGAGTTGGTATTCTCCTAGCAAAGGGAGACAAATAAAAAAAACAAACCAACAACTCTATAGATAGAAGTATCTAGTATGATGTCAGGTGGTAATAAGTGTTAAGGAGAAAAAGGTGTGTAAAGGAGACGGGAAGTGCTGAGAGGAAGAGGGTGCTATTTACTATCCAGGGATCAGGGAAGGGAGACATCATCAATTATGTAACACATTTGCCTTGAGTGCTTTGCCCAATATAGAATTTACTCAACATTCCTGAAGGTCTCTATTATATGATAGAGTATAATGTGGTAGGATAGGAAAGGAGTTGAAGGCAATTCTTTGGTATATTTTTAAAGAGAATAAAAGTACAGGAGGATAGAAGGATGAGAAAAAGAAGATCAAATTATTTTTATTGATCAACTACAATTGCCACAAATCAAGTGGTAGTTAAACCATTAAACATATGGATGTCATGATGAGAATATCAGGGTTGATCTGCTTGGAAACACACTGAATTAAGGCAATGATTGCCTTAATTTTATTTTTCAGTTTTCTCTAAGAAGTAAATCTATTATTTTGCCTACTTCTGCTTTTTCCCTTTAAGCTGTTTAAAAACTCTGAAATCAGGGTTGAAACTCAAGATTGAAAGTAGCTTACATATGTACTAATGGGTGAAAACATAAAAAAGGACCTGTGATTAATTTTTGAGAAAAAGGGATTTGATCACTTCATAGATGAACAAAGAGAATGAACTACTCAACATTGACTAATTTTATTCTTCTCAGAAATGTCTTAAATTTCTAGTATTTAATTTAGAGCAACATGACATACATCCATATACAACATGACATACATCCATATACATTGAGCAAACTCAAGTTATCTGTTATGGTCCACTTAAAAAATCAGAGCTAAAAGTATTTGAGACACTAGAGATAAAATGAGTAGTCATTACTCCTTTTATGATACTAACTGAAATGGTGCTTATTTTTATATCCAGAAACTCATTCCAGGTCTCTTTTGATTATGTTATTTTAGCATTTTTTAAAAGATCAAATAATATCAATTTTCTTTCCCTTTCTTTCAATTACCTTTGACCAAATGCAGTAAAAAATTTTATTTTAACACACCTATGTAAAGAAATTACATATTTTTTCATAAATACAAATGTCTTTAGAAAATATAATTGTTTTGACTCATTTTTAAATAGATTGAAAAACCAGTCTAGTGATAAAAAATTGTTGTACAACTTATTGTGTAGAAATAATAAATTTTACTTTATCCTTGTATTTTTTAACTGTCATTTAATTTTAGGTTCCATTTTTATAAAACTTCCTGTGTCTGGAAGTATCTGTTTTGCTGCCAGCTTTGCCAAGATGTGATTCATAAGCATGTCAAGAAAATCTAATAAATCTTTCATTAGTGTGTATAAATATTTTAATTGCAATTTAAGGAACAGAGAAAGGTTCTGCCTTCAACGGATTGGAATTTTTTTTAACGTCATGTTTCAAATTAGTAATAACAGTGCTGCATTTCTATAATGGCTTTACCCTCGGAACATCTATCATGTGAAAATCTAGCCCTGTGGGCACCAGTGTAACTGCAAAAAGTTATTGACTTTTTGCTTTTTAAGAAATTCTCTTATTACTTTTCTCAAAAGGAATTTATCTCTAAAGTCTCTCTGCAATAAATCTATGCTGCTTTCAGGCTGCATGGCAACCTTCTCTGGCCTGTACTTAGAGAATTCACCAACAGTATCTCCACCCACAGCTCCTCCTGAATGCAAGAGATTGAAGAGATGAAAGCTAGATCCTTGTGCAAAGACATTAGCAAGAATGTCTCTTGAACATACAAATCTTTTATTCACCATTAGTCCACATCTCACTCACTATGTGCATCGGATGAACCTGAAAAACAACCTCAAGCGGAAGGACTTTTATTCCTGTAAACTGTTTAAAATAAATTTTATCAAATAATTAGAGAAAATAAGAAGAGTTTCCCTCTCCTGTACAGGATGATGTTGCATTTCTTAAATTTTGTGAGCTGCTACATCATTATCAGGGCAAAGTTAATTATCCTACAACAGAAAGCCTTAAGAAATGTAGATGTATTTGGTCTGTGGTCTTCCATTTCTTGTATTCATTATTCTTTTCTTGTCTCTTAGAAGAGTGTTTTTCCTGCGTTGATTTCTCAGTACACTGTAGTTCATCCAAAAGTCTTTCTGAGTCGAGAAATTTTCCTGGAAACAGAGAGGTCGATATCTACCTAGTTTGAAGGCGTAGATGGGAAAAGGAAAAGTTAGGATTATTGGAGTTATTATAAAATGTATGAAATACTATTGTTCAAAGAGAAGGCAAACTCAAGTTATAAACTGGGAATTTCATCCAGATGCCAGAGTTGTTTGTGGAAAGAGCTGAAAAGTATCCTTGTCACTAAGTAATAGATACCCATCTTCAGAAGCAAATAGACCCCCCATCATTTGGTCATTTTCTTGTAATTGCCACAAATGACCCTCTCGCCTTGAACCTGTGCTCTGTAACCCCACAGTTGGCTTCTCCCCTGAATTCTATTTAGAGACCAAAGGCTAAATTGAGTCTTTGGAGCAGTTTGCTTTTAACTTCCATAATCTCAACAGAACTTTACTCTTCAGTATTAGATACCCTTAAGCAAAAACTGTTCTCTAAATTTCAAATTTGATATTAGGGTGGTATTTCTATGTGGATCATCCTGCATGAACTTAAGCAGCAAGTAACAGAAAATTGGGAAGATGCATGACAAGGTACAGGTGGTCTTAGAAAAGATAAAACAAGACGCAGAGTTTTCAGCATCTTGTTAGTCTATAAATCTTACAGGTGACACTGGCTTAATAAATGTTTCCTGAATGAGTGAGTGTCCTATAAACCGTTTAGAACAGGTCATCACAAAATCCACTTGCCATTATTTATATAATGATGCTATTCATAAATAACAGTTACATCAAAGTGACTATTAAGACCAACATTCTCCATCTGGGTTTTATGAAGTATATATTTTCTGCCCTGAAAAAATTAGTTAACGACTATAGCATGATACAGACATGTCTTAGGTGAATGCCTTCACAAAGTTCTAGAGGAGAATTTCATAGTTACCAAGAACATCCAGGACTGTTATTTGTTAAATAACAAAATTTGTTATTTTGTACTGTTATTTGTTAAATAACAAAATTTGGATATTTAATGCCAAAAATAGACAAAAATAGACAAATAGCTAAATTGCAGAGGCTGCCACCATCCTCTGCCACAGGTCATCATCATCGTATCTGGCCTGAACGTCTTTCTTTTATTCTTTAAATTGAGATGTGATTAACATACCATAAAATTTATCCTTTTAGAGTGTACACTTCAATGATTTTTAGTATATTCACATCATCACTGTCTAATTCCAGCACACTTTTTATCACCCTAAAAGGAATGCCCCTAAAAAGAATCCTCTGTTCTTATTAGCAGTCACTCTTCTTTCTTCCCAGCCCCTGGAAACTACTGATCTATTTCCTGTCTGTATGGAGTTGCCTCTTCTGCATATTACGTATAAATGGGATCATGCCATTTGAAACCTTTTGTGTCTGACTTCTTTCACTTAGCATAATGTTTTCAAGGTTCATCCATGTTGTAGCATGCATCAGTACTTCCTCCAGTTTTATGGCTCTGGTGTGGACTTCTACCATGTTCTCCCTGCTTCTACTGGGGTCCTCCACAGTCTGTTCTTCACTGAAGCCAGGGTGATGTTTTGCAAATGTAAATCGAATCATCTCACTCTTCTACTTAAAATCCTTCAAAGACTTCCCATTTTACTTAGAGAAAAAAATTGAACTCCTTCCCATGGTCTCTAAGACCTTTCAATGATCAGGACCCCACCCTGCCTACTTCCCAGCATCAGCTCCGCATATTCCACTTACTCACTCTGTACCAGTTCTGTGCCAGTTACACTGGCTTCCTTCTGCTCCTGGAAACTTCAGCCTTGGCATTTCTTTCAGTTCCTGCCCCAGGGCCTTTGCACTTGATGGTCCCATTGCCTGAGGCTCTTTTTTCACAGATCTTTCTGGTTTCTTCTTATCTTTCAGGCCTCTCATATCATCCCCTCAGAGAGGCAACCCTAGATAATCCTGTGTCAAGTGTCTTTCCCCCAACTCCCAGTCACCTTCTATCATTTCATTACCCTGTTTTCTTTATAGCATTTACTACTATCTGAAATTGTTCTGTTTTCTTTCCTTGCTTATTATCTACCTCTCCTTGAAAATCTGTCAACTCCATGAAGGCAGAGACTTTTACTGACTTGGTCTCTGCTATATCCCAAGCTTCTAGAATGGAGCCTAGAAGGTGCTCAATTAATATTTGAAGGAATGCATGGCTATCTTGCCTAGAACTCCTAAATCTTCCAGATCTTGCCTCTACTCTCAGCTCCTAAAGCTGGGTCTCTTTATTAGACTTCACTAGACTTAGCTATTGCCAACTACTGCCTGCCTGAGTTTCCATCTGTTGCTGACTCTCCCATTCTCCTGACATTCAACCATCCCCCCCCTTCCTAATGCTCTCCATGATGACTTTTCTAGATACCCCTGTCACAAGCTAGCAGGTCTCACTAATCTGTAGGTCCATGATCTAATTTAGCCTTCATTCTTACAGGTTGTAAACAGAAAGCACAGTCCAGTTGCCAATTTGCAAGAGATAAATAGGTGAGAGGAATCAGCATGGTACCAAGAATCAAACTTTCAGTCTTGAACAGAGTAAGTAGGAATGCATTAGATGCTGCATTATACCTGGTGGTAGATACTGATGTATAAGCTCATGTTAGATGAATGTGAACTAAATACAGATTGGAATGTTCCTAACTAAATTGTTATGCCTCCACTGTAGAGATCTGGGATCTTGCTTCTTTGGAATATTTGGACAAAAGGGAACCTTGGGAATCAGCTTCTTCCCATTTAGATATTTGTGGAATTCCACACCCCACCCCCGCCCCACTTAGCTCCTAGGTAAATAAAGTATCTATTTTCCCTCATTCCCTCATCCATCTTCTCTTATCATCCAAGTCACACAATAGCACGACCATTTGTCTGCAAGTCATTTTAAGCATTTCTTAAGCATTTCTTCAAAACAACAACTCATATACAGTGAGTAAAAGGAAAAGCCACATATAGGGAGGAAACAGTTGCCACACAGTTAACCAACAAAAGCTCCAGATGCATAAAGCATTTCTATAATGGGTAAGAAAAAAACTAACAGCCCAAAGGGGAAGAATGGGCAACAGAGATAAGTGGACATTTCACTGAAGAGAAAACAATAATGGCCAATACATCTGTGAAAAGATACTCATCCTCATTAGTAGTGGGAGCTGCAAATTAAATCCACAGTGAGATACCACACCCACCAGGGTGGCAAAGGTTTTTGCAAGGATGTGTGGCAATGGAAACTTCATGCGCTGCTAGTGAAGTGTAAATTGGTACAACATATTGGAAAACAATCCAGTGTTTAACTAGATATCCCTATGACCTAATAATTCTATTCCTAGGTATATAACTCAGAAAACTCTTACATATGTGTACCAAGGGCCCTGTACAGGAACATCCGGAGCAGCCTGATTCATTCAGGAAAAAACCTCATAATACACAAGTCATTTCTTCTCCTGACCTGCTGGGGGTATAAAAAGCATCAAGCCCAGTATTTTCAGGTTCTTCTGCTCTCACTGACAGCTCACCCCACACAAGTGGCTGAGACTAGTGATCTCTCACTGCGCCTCCAGGGGACAAAAGAAGGCAATGGGAAACCAGAGCCTTCTTCCCCCGGCCAACATCCTTATTTCATTTACAGTCTTTGCACTATTTTTTTTTTACTACTTTGGGGATAAATCAAGGTACACACAGTCTTGACTCAAATCTGTTCTCATCCATCTTTGAACCTGGACCAGACTCTGTAATCTGGCCTTGTTCACATGCTTCATGGGTACAAGGAACTTTAAAGTGGTAGGCATTCTTTTTTCACTTTATCTATCAGGGTTATTCTCTTGCCTCTCTGTATTTCTGCCAGAGCACCATCCCAATGGGCCTTGTAATACAGCTATTTGAGTGTGGGTTTGGGGTCCTTTATTAAATTGTGATTTCCTTTAGGAAGATTACTAAATGTTGTATTCTTAAGGACATGTCTTGCATATGGTGGGTTGCACAGTGCATGTTCTGATACATTAAAATCCCTGATTTAGAGGAGAAGCACCTTCAGAGAGTAGAATGGCCAGCGGCTCCCTCACATGCTGATACCCTTAGATTGTTTAATATCTCTAAGCGTCATCAAATGAGAATCATAATACTTTCATATCCCAGAGGTGCTGTGCATTTTAAATGAAATAGCACGGGAAAGTGCCTGACATAAAGATGTCCCTTAAGAAATGTTAATGTACTTCCTTTTCTACCCTTTCCTCAGCGTTCCTTTCAAAAGGAGGTCAAACAAGATCAGTCTTCCATCTTTCTGGAGAAGGAAATTAAAACTGTGTCAGCTGGTGCCCTGGAGGAGGCTGCTTCGTGGATGTTTCCGCTTAAGAAGGAAAGTATGGAGAGGGATAGCAGAAGTCAGGTCACTCTGGAAATCAGAATGCAACAGCTAGGGAGTGACAGCAGGAGAAATGCATACGAAAGGGAGTTACCTTAGGACTGGAATTCCACAGGACAGCCAGAGACCTTCTAGAACTGTTAGAAATGTGGTGTGGTCAAACCTCAGCAGCCCTTTCTTCTTAACCGTCTTTAACAGACAACTGCTTTTCCCTAAAAGGTCTCAGACCAGGTAGGAATTTGGGGAACACCGCCTCCATGAACCTGTGTTGCTCTAACGTGCCCCGGGCGTTGGGCCAGGAGCTGAGGATGAGCAAGGGAACAGAACAGAGGTGCTTGCACCGAGGTGGTGACTGGAGCGCTAGGACAGGAGGGAGGGGCAGAGAAGGCTTCCCGAGGAAGGTGCATAAGGGGTGTCCCAGGCAGAGCATCGCCACCGTCCAGCGTAAAAACCGGCATCCCAGCCTCTTCGGGCCGCCTGGCTTGCCATTTCCCTCCAGCTCCCATTCATTGCTTCCAAAGAAGGGAAGAGACTCGCCTCGTTTTAATTCCATTCTCATCTATCCCAGAGACCCTAGGGTGGGGGCGACGAAAATGAGTGGTACTCTGAGTCAGAAACTTGTGAAGGGGGCGCGGGAGCCGGCAGCGGGCTGGGAGTGACGCGAGGGAGGCCGGGGGCGGGGAGGTGACGCGCGCGGGGACCTCGCCGCCTCAGCCCACGTGTCCGCGAGATTTAAAAGTTGGCAGAGTGCGGGTGGGTCAGTCTGGCGGCCGAACTGGGCGAACAGCGCGCCAGGGACGCAGAGGCTCAGCCAGAGCATCGCTTGGAGCGCGGGCCGGTGCCGTGCAGGGTCCCGGGATGCTGCGAGCCGCGAGCCGTCGCCCCGGGCCGCCCCCCGGTCAGGTGGCCGCTGCGTCCCCGCTCCTCCTGCTACTACTGCTGTCTTGTTGCGCGGACACCTGCGGAGGTAAGCCGACCCCGTGCCTCCCAGGGCACCCGCGCCACCGCCTGGTCCCGCGCCACTCCTCCCCGCTGTGATCGCCGCGCTCTCTTCCCTCCCTTTTTTGCCTCTTCTCTTGGCTTCTGAGATTTGCCACCCCCTCGTGCCGCAGGGCTCCCCAGGTTCTCGCTCTTAATCACAGGAGCGGGTCGGCGCCCCAGGGCAGCCAGCGGCGCAGGTGCCAGTGTCCGGGCTCGAGCGCGGAACTGGGCCTGGCCTAAATCCCCAGGCCGGGCAGCCTGAGGTCGGTGGAAACTTGTAGGGCTCCCTCGGGTAATGGGAGTTAAAACAGTGAAAATGAAAATGCTTTTCCTTTGACTGCAATCCCTGGAGGGATTGACGGTGAAGCAAAACTAGAGTAGGTTTGATACTTCCCCTGCTGATGCGAGGTCAACTTGCAAAGTGCTCAACTTCCTTGGTGAATGAGCTCCTGTCTGTGCAGATAATCCCGAGCAATAACATGCCCCGTTCTGGCCGTATAGATGGGGAAAGAGTCAGCTCTGTGCCTCATAGGTTTTCAGGGACCAGATCAGGAAAAGGAATAGAGACCTTCTTACAATGCGGAGTTGGAGAAGCAAATGTGCAAGCCGGGCTTTCAGTCAGTGCTACAGCTAAAGCCAGTGAAGGCAGATGTGGTTTGATAACAGGAGGGACTTCCTGAGCTTTGCTTAGAGGAAAGGTGTGGGAAAAGCAAAAGCAAGGTCAGGAAGGGGTGTCTGAAGCTTGGGAGACAGTGTAGAGCAGATGCAACTTGTTCCAGTGGAGAGATCACTTCCCTGTTCCCTTAAGGTTACCTTTCCAGGTACCTTGAGGGGACCATCCCTCATCTCCCAGCTCTGAGCCAGGGCCCCTCCAGTGACAGCCACTGACCTACTAAGATCATGAATTTTCTAGCTTCTCAGCAGGTCCTCTTAGTTTCCCTCTGCTCTCCTTCCTGTCAGTAGGATAAAGGAGGGCTGACTGTTTCATCATTGCTCAGAATGTTAGGGACTTGAAACCATAACTGTAGGGACCTTTCTTAGCACGTAGCCCAGCCTTCAGGTAGAGGTGGGGGAACTGAAACTATTATTCTTTTCCTAATTTTTTTTTTTTTTCTGTCCTTTCATTGTTTTCCCCCTTTCCTTAAGGAACTGGAGACGTAGGGAGGTGGGAACACCCGTGCTTGAAAAGCAAGGTAATTTGGCTATGAAATCTAAGCAGTCAGAAGCTAGGAGACCTAAGCCTTCTCCATCACATATTCAGCAGTGCTACAGCATGACTTATGCAAAGTAATATTAATCGTTTATTGGTAAAATTAGTTTGGTAATTTTTATTTACCTTATTAAGGAAGCAGATAATCATAGTTTATTTTTTTTCCTCTGTAAAGCAAATGTACTTTCCATGCATGTTACGTACTATATGCTTGCAGTGATTTTTGCATCAGTGGGAGGTAACTTCTTTTTGGTGGGGAGGCAGGGGAATTTTCAGTCTTCTGGTGATTGAGCAGAAACTATAGAAAGCAGCAGCTGATTTCTAAAAAAGGCAAGTCTTGGGTTTTATTTTCAAAAGAGCATATCTGGTGGTTGACCAATCATCTCATAAATATCCCCAATATTTCTCAAGCAAAGGGATGAGATACCTCTTTCCCTACACAGAGACCCCATAGACTACCCTTTTCTGTCTTCTTTCCCCTTCAGATCTGCTCTTGATACCAAAAACTTAATTTTATCTCTCTAAAAATGTGATGGGGAGGGAAGAGGGTGAATTTTTCCTAGTCTGATCTGCCCTAGTCCTGAGACCCTAAAGATAGCACTGGAGGGGAAGCAGGACATACATAAGCAAAACTGGGAGATAATCTACCAAGATTAATCGTTACGCAACACGCAAGTGGATGTATTGAAAAACAACAAAGCAAATGCCACAGTGCCAGAGGAAAAAAAAATCATGTCAATAAGCACAACGTCCTTGGCAAAAATGAGTTAGCAGAGCATAAAATAGCAATGGGAAGGCAAAGGACCAGCCACAGATTCGGTGGCTGGAAATGGTTTACTATTCAGAGAACATTAAAATAAAGAAGGACATTTCCTGAAAGAGGGGCACATTTGTATATCTGCAACAAACTGTCGCGTGATGTAGCCTCTGACAATAAGTGACCAAGTGCCCAAGACTAAATTGAGAAGTGTCTTTTCCTACTCAGGCCCCTATTCATGGAATAATTCCTAAAATTCAGTCAGCAGGAACAGTTTCTGACTTCCAAACACTACACTAGTTAAGTACTAGCAATGAGAAAAGAAAATTGATACCACTTTTAGAATAATCAAGTCTGTTTTTCTTTCTCTTACACATGATATATTTACAGATCACAAGCTGTCTATCCATATTATTTGCATTAGTTAGATTGTACAGTGTAAGACTAAAGATTTCACTTAACTTGAAACTGATTGATCAAAAACAGTGCAGTTTTTAGGCTGTAGATGACAGCGGCACCGTCCCTGACAATACTTGCGAAAGTATCTAGTATGGCTATTTGATTAGTATAAAGCCCACATCTGGGGTATCTTGAGAGGAAAATCACATCAACTTCAGTTAACAAATAGACAAAGGGGGAAAATTCTTCCCTTATGTTTGGATTCAGTCATAGGATGTTAATAGTTTTCTATAAATTATAGGTAAACATTTTGAAATGTTGGCTTCTCTAACCTTTTTACCCTGAGACTGTGTTTCGTGTAAGAGCCCCAAAGTACCCCCTTTCGATTATATAAGTGCTTGGGACTAGGTTAGACATAATGGCAATTTTGGTGTGGCCCGTGCAAGCTTGGGGACATGGAAGGAGGCAAACTCTCCATGCTCTTGGTAAGGCAGGAGGGAGGGGGAGCTTCCACTTTTACTGGAGGATGGGGGTTGGTCAGGAGAAGAAATAATAGGAAACTGTATTCTTTAAACAGGAATGACCTGTCAAACAGAGATTAACCATGGTACCTTGAGTGGAGAAATCAGAAGTACAGGCAGGTGAAGACTGAATCCAACACGTGGAATTCCTTGTGCATTTCCCTGCATCATACTTGACTCTGGTTCTCTTCAATCAAATACTGCTCTCTCCCTCCATTGCTCTTTCTTTTACCTTCCTATTTTTCAAAGCTGTGCACTCTTAGTAAAAACAGATGAGTAATGCATCCAAGCTGTAAGGAATGGGCCTATGGATTTTAGATTTTTTTCATGACAACATTCATATACCCCTTTTGGAAATATTCAGACTTGTTAAAAAGGTTACACCTAAAATGTTTATTTGAGCTCCCTAGTTCTGTCACATAAGAGGCATCCTCTGTTTCTTTCTACAATACGGTGCTCACTCCCCCTGGCTATTCACAGTTATTCATAGACCAGCGGCATCGGTATCAGGTATCACCGGGAAGCTTGCTAGAAATGCAGACTCTTGGGCCTGTCCCCGAATGACTGAATCAGAAGCTCATTTAAGTAAGATCACCAGGTGTTTTGCATGAAAATTTGAGAAGCTTTATCCCCTCCTGAAAACAGAATCAGCTCAAAGTAATATCCACCAGACAACAGTGACTTTGGGATATACATTTGTGCTAGGGTGGGAAATATTTAATTGAGAAGTGTGTAAGTTCATTTGTCCACCTTGAATAGCTGTCCCATGAAAGGGGATTCAAACAAATCAGCTCTCTACTATGGACTACATGACCCCTGTAAGTTACTTCTAATGCTGGGTACAGAAAATGTAGCGAAATACTATTACTATTATTAGAACATAGATTAAATACTAGCACAAATTTTTGTGCACTCAAGGCGAGACATCTGAAAAGTGGTAGAATTAGAAAAAAAAAATCTGTCAGGATTTGGAGTCTGGTTTGAAATCTGCTTCTGCCATGTATATATTTTGGTGACCTGAGACAAATTACTTAATCTTTCCTTCCTTCAATTTCCTCATCTTAAAATGGGAATAAGTAGAATAGCTAACTTAAAACGTTGGTATGAAGGTTAAAGGACATGATACATTTTATTTTATTATTATTTTTACTTCTACAGACAATTTTATTGACCTAGATTGAACATTTTAGAAAAACATTTTCTAAATGTTTACTGTAATGTATAGTTAATTTTCCCAATGTTAGTTAACCCTGGATTTTACAACTAAGCCTATAATTTTGTTACCAAATGTAATAAAAAGCTTTTAAAACCCTTTAACAATCAGTGGTATAAGTTTCACATTCTCCTGAATATATAAATTTGCTATAATTTACTTCTACTGATAACGTTTGTATTGTTTCTAAGAGACCTTAACTCTTTATTTTCTAGAGCATATTATAATTAGTCACAAATAGTCTTTTTTTTCTGGTGATAAGAATGAATAGCAGGAGCAGCATTTGTGAAACCAAATCTAATATGAAACTGACTCTTTCTTGTGAGTAAATTTGAATTTTGAAGCAGTAAAACAATAAGGTTTAATATAAAGCAAAATAAATTTTTTATGTTTATGATCGGCCAATTTCCCAGAAAAAGTTTTGTGGTGACTTTAGTTCTATTCCAGATACGTTAAAATCACCAATGGACAACACATCTTTTATTCAGGTGCCATCTGAAAGTTTTAAAAATTTGTTGACTTAATATCACTGAACTGTCCACTTTAAAATGGTTAAAATGATAAATTTTCTGTTTTGTGTATTTTACCACAATTTTTAAAAAATGTGTTGTTTGACGATTTTTAGTTTTTATAAAGGTATTATATTAGCATAACAATGAAAAATTTAAAAGATCACCTCTAATCTCATTATCCTATCAAGCAATATTTACATTTTTATTTTCTCTTCCTGTTGTCTATAAACATAGTCCCACATAGCTTCAATATAATTTTCCATTCTTATCTTTTCATACTAAATTTAAATTTTATGATTCATAGTTATATATATATATATATATATTTTTTGTGGTACGCGGGCCTCCCACTGTTGTAGCCTCTCCTGTTGCAGAGCACAGGCTCCAGACACGCAGGCTCAGCGGCCATGGCCCACGGTCCCAGCCGCTCCGCGGCATGTGGGATCTTCCTGGACCGGGGCACGAACCCGTGTCCCCTGCATCGGCAGGCGGACTCTCAACCACTGCGCCACCAGGGAGCCCCATAGTTATACTTTTTAACATTGTATTCACAAGGTTTCATTGAGTTGGTCAATTTTTTTTTTCAAGGTAACAGTAGTGTTTGTTTTTTTTAATTGCACACATGTCTATAAACCTAATAAATAGGTTTTCTCTTTTTTTTATACAGCAGGTTCTTATTAGTTATCAATTTTATACACATCAGTGTATACATGTCAATCCCAATCGCCCAATTCATCCCACCACCACCACCACCACCACACCCCCCACTGCTTTCCCCCCTTGGTGTCCATACGTTTGTTCTCTACATCTGTGTCTCTATTTCTGCCTTGAAAACCAGTTCATCTGTACCATTTTCTACGTTCCACATATATGTGTTAATATACGATATTTGTTTTTCTCTTTCTGACGTACTTCACTTTGTATGACAGTCTCTAGATCCATCCACATCTCAACAAATGACCCAATTTCGTTCCTTTCTATGGCTGAGTAATAATCCATTGTATATATGTACCACCTCTTCTTTATCCATTTGTCTGTCGATGGGCATTTAGGTTGCTTCCATGACCTGGCTATTGTAAATTGTGCTGCAATGAACATTGGGGTGCATGTGTCTTTTTGAATTACAGTTTTCTCTGGGTATATGCCCAGTAGTGGGATTTCTGGGTCATATGGTAATTCTATTTTTAGTTTTTTAAGGAACCTCCATACTGTTCTCCATAGTGGCTGTATCAGTTTACATTCCCACCAGCAGTGCAAAAAGGTTCCCTTTTCTCCACAGCCTCTCCAGCATTTGTTGTTTGTAGATTTTCTGATGAAGCCCATTCTAACTGGTGTGAGGTGATACCTCATTGTAGTTTTGATTTGCATTTCTCTAATAATTAGTGATGTTGAGCAGCTTTTCATGTGCTTCTTGGCCATCTGTATGTCTTCTTTGGAGAAATGTCTATTTAGGTCTTCTGCCCATTTTTGGATTGGGTTGTTTGTTTTTTTAATATTGAGCTGCATGAGCTGTTTATATATTTTGGAGATTAATCTTTTGCCCGTTGATTCCTTTGCAAATATTTTCTCCCATGCTGAGGGTTGTCTTTTCATCTTGTTTATGGTTTCCTTTGCTGTGCAAAAGCTTTTAAGTTTCATTAGGTGCCATTTGTTTATTTTTGTTTTTATTTCCATTACTCTAGGAGGTGGATCAAAAAAGATCTTGCTGTGATTTATGTCAAAGAGTGTTCTGCGTATGTTTTCCTCTAAGAGTTTGATAGTGTCTGGCCTTACATTTAGGTCTTTAATCCATTTTGAGTTTATTTCTGTGTATAGTGTTAGGGAGTATTCTAATTTCATTCTTTTACATGTAGCTGTCCAGTTTTCCCAGCACCATTTATTGAAGAGACTGTCTTTTCTCCATTGTATATTCTTGCCTCCTTTATCAAAGATAAGGTGACCATAGGTGCATAGGTTTATCTCTGGGCTTTCTAGACTATTCCATTAATCTATATTTCTATTTTTGTGCCAGTATCATACTGTCTTGATTACTGTAGCTTTGTAGTATAGTCTGAAGTCAGGGAGCCTGATTCCTCCAGCTCCGTTTTTGTTTCTCAAGATTGCTTTAGCTATTCGAGGTCTTTTGTGTTTCCATACAAATTGTGAAATTTTTTGTTCTAGTTCTGTGAAAAATGCCAGTGGTAGTTTGATAGGGATTTCATTGAATCTGTAGATTGCTTTGGGTAGTAGAGTCATTTTCACAATGTTGATTCTTCCAATCCAAGAACATGGTATATTTCTCCATCTATTTGTATCATCTTTAATTTCTTTCATCAGTGTCTCATAATTTTCTGCATACAGGTCTTTTGTCTCCTTAGGTAGGTTTATTCCTAGATATTTTATTCTTTTTGTTGCAGTGGTAAATGGGAGTGTTTTCTTGATTTCACTTTCAGATTTTTCATCAGTAGTGTATAGGAATGCAAGAGATTTCTGTGCCTTAATTTTGTATCCTGCTACTTTACCAAATTCATTGATTAGCTCTAGTAGTTTTCTGGTAGCATCTTTCGGATTCTCTATGTGTAGTATCATGTCATCTGCAAACAGTGACAGCTTTACTTCTTTTCTGATTTGGATTCCTTTTATTTCTTTTTCTTCTCTGATTGCTGTGGCTAAAACTTCCAAACCTATGTTGAATAACAGTGGTGAGAGTGGGCAACCTTGTCTTATTCCTGATCCTACTGGAAATGGTTTTAGTTTTTCACCATTGAGAATGATGTTGGCTGTGGGTTTGTCATATATGGCCTTTATTATGTTGCAACTCAGTGATTTTTAAGTAGACTTAAGGAGTTGGGCAGTCATTTGCCTATTAATGTTTTCTTTTCTGTATTGATTTGAAAGAGTTGTATATTATAAGGATATTTACCATCACATTTTATTAAATATGTTTCATACATTTTGGAAGTTTTCATTTGTCTTTTAATTTATATTAATTTGTGATTATGGTAGATAAGTTTGGATGAAGGTGATCAAAAGGTACAAACTTCCAGTTATAAGACGAGTAAGTACTAGAGATGTAACATACAACATGATGACTGTAGTGAACACTGCTCTGTGGTATATTTGAAAGTTAAGAGAGTATATTCTGAGAGTTCTTATCACAAGGAAAAAAACATTTTTTTTTTCGTATCTATATGAGGTGATGGATATTAACTAAATTTATTGTGATAATCATTTCACAATATCTGTAAGTCAAATCATTATGCTGTATACCTTAAACTTATTCAGTGCTGTATGTCAATTACATCTTCATAAAACTGGGAAGAAAAAAAGCAGAAGAAAAAAAAGATCCTCACTCATCATAGTTAAAGTGCTACAACATCATGCCATTTACATAAATTTTATCTGATACTTCATCATCCAAATTCTGTTTCAGGATCACACTGGCAATACCCTGGAGGCATTGTCTTACTTGAAAAATGTTATTTCAGTTAGTTGAATATCATTCTTTACAAGATTTAAGTCAAACAAGGTCCAGCACTAAATCCAAACCAAAATATATGTGTCTGTAATAAATTTCTGCCCCTGCACTATTCATACATAGTGGCATAGATGATTCTTCAAGCGTTCTGAATTAAGTACAATGGATTTCTCACTTTTTTATGTTCTGTCGTATAAGCCTTTTTGTACTTTTACTCCTCCTTAACAAATAAAGTATTGTTTCATCTCCACCAAAAAAAAAAAAAAATTTGTGCAGCTATCACAACAATACAATTTTCCATCACCCCCCAAAGATCTGTTATGTCCATTTGCAGTCAGTCCGCATTCCTACCATCAGCCCCAAGCAACCACTAGTCTTTCTATCACTATAGGTTTGCCTTCTCTGGACATTCCATATGCATGGATTCATACAGTATTTGATCCTTTGCATCTGGCTTGTTTGATTTAGCATGATGTGTTTGAGATTCATCTCTGTTGAAGCATATATCAGTAGTTCATTCCTTTTTATTGCCAACAATTTTCTATTGTGTGGATGTACTACATTTTGTTTATCTATTTACCAGGTGATGGACAGCTGCATTGTTTCTGCTTTGAGCTTATTATGAATTATGCTGCTATGTGCATTCATGTACAAGTTTTTGTGTAGACATATAAGAAATTCACTCTTGAGAGTAATGTCTTTGTAATGTTTTAAGGTTTATTTAATAATTATGTCTCTTTATACTAAGTCAGATGTTGAAATATCTAGTTGAAATAGGAGGGTGGTGATGTACAGTGAAAAATGAGAAATATCATCCAAAAGTAAATCAAAACTTTATCATCCAAAACTTTATTTTTAGGTGCTCCAATATTGCCTCAAGGATTACAGCTGGAACAAGAATTACAGTTGTGGAATGAGGTAAAGAATTATCCTTACGCAAACTAGTGGAAACTTTACCCTTTTTAAAATTATCATGGTGAAGTGAAATAATGTCATTGAGCTTTGGGACAACTGTGATTTTACTGACATTCTGAATTCAGAATTATTCTCTTTATCAAGTGAAAGAAGGAAAGATGAAGAAGAAACCAAAAATACAGTAAGTGGTAAATTAAGGTGGCAGAAATATGTCCTAACAATAGAGTAATTATAATAAATATGAATGTGCTAAACTACACCCCTTAAAAGAGATTCTCAGGCTGGATTTTAAAAACAGATTTAGTAATATGATCTCTGTAGGAGTCACACGGAAAGCAGAAAACAAAAAATGGCTAAGAATGGAAAATGACATACCAAGCAAATATAAACTGCAAGAAAATTGGAGTAGCAGTCTTAATATCTGATAAAATAGAATTCGAATGCACAAACCATTTTAACAGACAAAGCAGGATCTTATACGCTGGTAAAAGAACAACAGAGCAAAAAGGTACAGCCATCATTAATATATATTAACAGAACAATCTCAAAATTTATTTAACAGCTGATAGAAATTCAGGGGAAAATAGATAAATGAACATTTGTAGTTGGATATTTTAATATTCCTCTCTCAAAACTGATAGTTAAAGCAAATAGCACACAAGTAGATATGTCAAAGACCCAACAGTACAATTAATAAATTTGAATTTGAACTATTAGAAATATTTTTAAAAACCTGTACTAAACAGTATGAACATTCTTTTTGAGAATAATTGGGGCATTTTAAAAAAACAGACCATGTCTTAGAAGACAAAGAAAGTTTTCATCACTTAGGATCCATTTTAAATGTTTTGCAATCATAATGCAATAAAGTTAGAAACTATTAACAAAAGTATAACTTAAATATCCCATCTGTTAGGAAAATAAGTGGAATTTCGGTAAATAGCCCTAGACTGAAAAAGAATGACATAAAAATATTATGAGTCAAAATTTGTATGCTACAACTAAAACAGTAGCTAGAAAGAAATTTTAACTTCATATATATTTATCAGGAAAAAAGAAAATTTAAAAACAAATATGCGTAGCATTCAACTGAAAAATGTGGGAGAAAAGAACATCAGAGAAAATTCAAAGAAACAGGAATGAAGTAAATAATAGAAATACGGGCAGAAATAAATATTAAAAAGAGAGAGGAGAGAAAAACTCCACAATATTAACAAAATCATATGTTTGTTCTTTCAAAATGTTAATAAGCACTGGCAGTACTGATTTAAAAAGGCAGAGGAGAAGATAAAGATAAAAAAAGACATACACTGAAAAAGGGTAGATCACCAAGAAAAAGAGAGATTTAAAAAATGTTTTATACGATATTTGCTTTTCTTCTTCTGACTTCCTTCACTCTGTATGACACTTTATAGGTCCATCCACGTCTCTACAAATGACCCAATTTCATTCCTTTTTATGGCTGAGTAGTATTCCATTGTATACATGTACCACATCTTCTTTATCCGTCCATACCAAGGGGGAAAGTGGTGGTGTGGGAGGAATCGGGAGACTGAGATTGACACATATACATTATTGATACTATGTATAAAATAAACTTCTGATGGGAACATACTGTAATAGCACAGGGAACTCTACCTAATGCACTGTGGTAACCTAAATGGGAGGGAAGTCCAAAAGAGAGGGGATATCTGTATGTGTATGGCTGATTCATTTTGTTGTGCAGTGGAGGCTAACACAAGCAACCATATGGTTTACATACCATATGGTTGTAAAGCAACCATACTCCAATAAAAATTAACAAAAAATAAAAACAAAAAAATTTTTAAATGTTTTAAATAAGTATTATGGACAATTGACTGGCAAAGTTTGCACAACTCAGTAAATAACACTAAAAACGACTGAATTGTGTCATGTTGGTCTGGAGTCATCATACTGGTCTAGACAAAAGTTATCAACTAAGGGATGGACGGTGGTGGGTCATGACTTGTAATTTAAAAAGTCCGTGGCTGCAAAGGCCCTATGGAAAGACCCCTTGTTATTTGTAGCTCTGAACCAGAGAGTTCCTATATTCTGTGGTTCAGTTTGAAGGTCTGTATTCAAAACATGAACTTTAGGTCCAGTAACAAGGTAGTTAGAGTATAGATTTACTGCTTTACCTATCAATGACATCACCCTCTAAACTGATAAAGAAAAAAACAGATTGAGGAGACTCAGTGCCCCTCTAATCTGGTGGGACTCCCATCCTGCGTTAGTCCCATAAACCCACAGATTTAGGGCATATCTGAGGGAGAGAAAAGAAAGGGCACTGGGAAGCGGCAGCTGTTCTACTACCTTAAGGCATTCTCTGCTCTAACTAGTTGAGTTATAGCCTTCATCTGAGGTAAGCTAATTCTTGCTACCGTCAGGGTTAAATTCTGACATTTATCCTGACCCACAAGCCTAATTTCTGTGTGTACATATATATTCTCTAGAAGGCTATTATATCAAGCTGTTATTTTCTTTCTAGATAAATGGGATAATAGCTTAAAAAAAAAACTAGCGAATCGTACACTCTAAATGGGCGAATTGTACAGAATCTGAATTATATTTCAATAAGCTATTACCCCTGCCAAAGTATTATGGACAGTTATATGGTAATAATTTTGAAAACTTAGATGAAATGAATAAATTCCTAGAAAAATATCTGATGCCAAAAAGGCGCTATAGTAATACAATAAGCACTGAAGAAACAATTTCTTCTTTCTTCTAATCATTGGCCAAAGGCCTCCAGTACTATGTTATACAAATAAATGTAACTAAAGCTTCTCCATAGGGTATAACTTTGCTCTAGAATTTTGTTATATAACGTTTACCTAGTTAAGGAACTTCTATTCTTCTCCTGTCTTCCTAAGAGTTTCGTTAATCCTAAATAAAATGTGAACTTAATCAAATATTTTATCTGCACCAATATTGAGATAAGCAATATGCCATTTCTCCTTTAATCTATAATCATGATGAATTACGTTAATAAATTGCTCGCTCTTAAACTATTAGAGCTAAGATGAGAATTCAGAAGAGTTTTGGATATAATACCAATATACAAGAATCAATAAATTTCACTAGGAAAAAGTAACATGAAAATATTACATCATTCACAATGGCAACAAAAACTATAAGTATCTAGGAATTAACCAAAAATACACAATAGCTTATGGAGAAAAAATTAAATTTTAATAAAGGAATTAGAAGATAATGTGAATATATGGAGAGACGTTCTTTGCTTTTGGAGGGAACAATTAATTTAATGTAATAAAAATATCAATTCTACCTAAATGAGTCAATGTAAACCTCATAAAATCAATGCAACCCAATCAGAATTCCACTTAACTTCTTTTTGGAAAGTTTATAAATTTAACGTAAAATTGATGTGGAAAAATAAAGGTCTACAAATGGCTAAGGAACTTTTAAATATAAAGAGCTAAGAGCCAGAACTTGCCCTACCAGGTTTCAAGATATACTAAGAAACTGTACTCATAAAAAAGGTATGGTGAGGGCGTAAGAATAGATGAATGAACCAGTGGAACTGAGACTAGAGCTTGGAGAGTTTAGCAGACACGGTCAGTGCCCTGTCATATCCCTTTGTCATTCACCATTCTAGCACACTCCAAACTTACTGTTTCTAATTGCGAGCACCTGTGACTCTGCCTGTTTGGCCTAGGCTCAGGACAGACCAGAAGTGCCTGGGACCAAATGCCCCCACCACAGGAATAGCCATCAGTTGGTGACCCAAGAGAGTTGGTGGATGAATACCTTAGCTGCCTCTCCCCTCAGGTGGGATAACTCTGAGATGTATTCTGCATTGTGTCTCAGAGTACCCCAGGCAGATTGATCCCAGTTACAATGGTGGTAACCTGCTTGATAACATACCCTTGATTGGATTCCTTCCCTTCCCTGTTTTACTTCTCCACTCTTCTACCGGTGCTTTTTGGGTTATCTTCCAAATGATCTACTCATATCCACATCCTTATCTCAAGGTCTGGTTCTGGGGGAACCCAACCTAAGACAACCTGAGACAAATGCATGTGCACATAAACTTAACTTATAGTAAAAGTAACACTAAAATTCAGAGGCAAAAGGACAGATTGTTCGGCAAATGAGGGTTGAGAAACTGGCTCACTGTATAGAGAAACATAAAATTAACACCCCATACAAAGGTGGGCTCCAGGTGGATTAAAGGTCTAAACATACAGGGTAAAATTACAGAGTTAATAGGAAATATCTTTTCTATTAGAAAAACATCTTTGTGAGCTAGGAACAGGGAAAGGCTTCTTTCCACAAATTTTAATAAGTTTTTCCATAAAAAATTTCCATAAGTTTTTCCATAAAAAACTTCCACCATAAATTATAAGGCCCAAAACTTCATGACTTGAATTACATTAAAAGTAAAGATTTCTGGGCTTCCCTGCTGGCGCAGTGGTTGAGAGTCCGCCTGCCGATGCAGGGGACGCGGGTTCGTGCCCCGGTCTGGGAGGATCCCACATGCTGCGGAGCGACTGGGCCCGTGGGCCATGGCCGCTGGGCCTGTGCATCCAGAGCCTGTGCTCCGCAACGGGAGAGGCCGCAGCGGTGATAGGCCCGTGTACAGCCAAAAAAAAAAAAGTAAAGATTTCTTTCAACAAAGGACTCCATTGAAAAAATGTAGGAGCCTTTGAAAGAAGATATTGACAGAGCCTAAAACTGATAAGGAATTAGTTTCTAGAATATCTAAGAAATTCTAGCTAATTGGATAAAGACAGGAATCCAAAGTAAAAATAGTCAAATTATAGAACAATTTACAAAGAGGAAACCTAAAGACCAACAAGCATCTAAAGAGATGCTCAAATCCATTAGTAACAATGACATGAAAATTAAGACAAAAATATTGTCACTTTCTATCCGTTAGACTGGCAAAAAATTGAAATCTAGAGAATGGCAAACGTTAGCAAGGATGTAGGGTGTAGGAATCCCCATGCATTTCTGATGAGAGTGTCAACTGGTGTAGCCATCTGGAAAGCTGCCTAGATATCCCCATGGTCTAGCATGCCCTCTCCTGAGTATGTAGCCCAAACATATTCTCCTACAGAACCATATGTGGAGGACAGATACAAGGAGGTAATGGGAGGAGTGGAGGGAACCGGCCTCGCATCACTGGGGAGTAGGTAGGCAACATGTAGTGCGTGCACATTATAAATATTCTATGGCAGTTAGGAGTAACACACTAGAGGTATCCAGGAGCAGGGAGAGGTCTTAAAGTATAGTGTTAAGTTAAGAAAAGTAAGGGCTTCCCTGGTGGCGCAGTGGTTGAGAGTCTGCCTGCTGATGCAGGGGACACGGGTTCGTGCCCAGGTCCGGGAAGATCCCACATGCCGCGGAGCGGCTGGGCCCGTGAGCCATGGCCGCTGAGCCAGCGCGTCCGGAGCCTGTGCTCCGCAACAGGAGTAGGCCACAACAGTGAGAGGCCCGCGTACCTCAAAAAAAGAAAAAAAGTAAGAAAATACCATATGTGCACAGCAAACAGCAGTACAGATTTTATAAGAACATAAACAGAGGATACACATCAAATACATTAGAAGAGCTGCTTATGGGAGGATGGTATAGGAGTATGAAATGGAAATATAAAAGGATAAAGAAAGTGAGTCCAGTGATGATAGAAAGCTATGAACTGAGGAGAATACCCTTTATACCTAAGCCATCCCCTAACAAAATACATAAGGGCAAAGATAAGACAGATGATAAGGGCCAAGCACTAAAGAGTCTTAAATAGCACAGAAATTTGTAAGACTATTTTAAGGGCCTCTGCCTTGGTATATCATAATACATGCTAGAAAAATATAAGCAAGATGAAGAATAATTTAAAAACAGATATTAATGTAGAGTACAGAAACATTTAGTTTGGCTTGAAATTATATTTCTGAGGAAAATCTTTGAAAAAAACTTTTAGATGATAATGCTGGGGGAAACACTCAAATGGAGCTGTAAAAGCACTGTACGCTCTTTTATAGAAAAAGATACTTAAAGAAGATGCTAAGAACATATAGTTAAGCTTTCTGCTGGAGGTTTTAAATATTACATGGCTATTCAGATGCTAGAAACACATACTTTTCAAACCGTATACAGAGACCTAACCATTTTCAAACGGGTTCGTCGATGGACTCCACAGAGTTCTCAAAAGCATTAGTGGCACTTAAAACCATTAGGGCCATAAGCTGAGTGAAGTGAACAAATGCTTACCCAAAGGGAGAGTGGGTGGGCAGTGCAGCCATGCCTTTTAAAGAAAGGAGAACAAAGACTGAAAAGCTTTGCAGTTATCTCCTAATTTGATTAATTGGTGTTTTTTCTTGTTCTGATGTTTTTATCCAAGCCATATTGATGCACTGATTAGTGAGGCCTGAAGTTCAAGGGTTCGCTGTCCTTGGACACGGCCACCTCATACAAAAATGAACAGCCTGGGCTGGGGGTGGACAGCTTTCCCCTTGAGCATGTAAAGTCTTCAGATACCTAAACATCACCACAATTTCAAGAGGGACCACTTCCTCCTACCCTACTAGAGCAAATTAAATCACATTTGGGGGTGATACGTAAAGCATTAGTCACAATTTGAAGCTTAAAAGGGTATCTTTTTCGCTTTCCCTTCTCAATTGACTTCTCTTTATTTTTTTCCCCACAAACTCAATGCAATTTAATTAAAGAATATTTATTGAACACTTATTTGGGCACATTAGGTAGCCCCTGCCCTCAAGAAGTTTACTGCTGTCTGTGTGTGTTTGTATCCATGATTCTGGGTTTATATGGCATGGAAGAGGGAGCAGGTGGATGGACACAAGGGACAAATAGAATAAAACAATTCTCCCAGTATTTGTGATATATGGAGAGGATAAGTTCTGTGAACATAAAAAGGAGACATAAACGTATGCTTTTCTATCATACCGTATACCTTTGTTATTCTCTAAATTACAGAATTATATATATTAGTTCATGTTCAACTTGGAAACCAGAGGAGCTTGAGAAATTACGACTAAAGGGTATGATTATCCCCCTTCAGTTTAGTGTGAGAATGGCAATTAAATTAAATTCAACAAACAATTCTGAAACTAGAAGGGGGCCCCTGAGATGTTATGCCATAAATAGGACACAACCTAAATCATCCCAGACAGACAAGAATCAGTACCATTTTTTCCAGTCCCGTTTTAAAAGGCCGCCAAAGAAATAAATGCCATAGATAATTCTAGACACCTAGCTTAGTGCTTAACTTCTCAGCACAGTTTTTTAATGATTAGTATAAATCTCATACTACAGTTTAAGATTTTTCAAGGTTTCTTTTAAGGATAAAAGCTGAGGACAGAGCACGGGAGCCTACCTGGCTCTTTGGTGGGGCTAATTGTGGACTCTGGGAAGGCTCACGCCAAGGAGTACTTCCCAAAACTTCTGCTGCCAGTGTCCTTGTCCCCACGGTGAGCCACAGCCGCCCCCCGCCTCTGCAGGAGACCCTCCAACACTAGCAGATGGAAGCTTTAGACAAAACCGATCAAACCTCACCTCTCTACTAGTGCACCCCATCTCAGCATCTCTCGTTGCAAAACTCATCTCTTCACTGAAAGATAGAATCACACACAGTGCCTGTAGCCCTCTAGAACTTCCAAATAATGACGAAAGAATTGTCAGCATGCAGATTTAGACAGTCACAAAATTTGAAACAGTTACTAATGTTGTTGGATATTTAAAAGGCTCGGGGCTTCCCTGGTGGCGCAGTGGTTGAGAGTCCGCCTGCCGATGCAGGGGACGCGGGTTCGTGCCCCAGTCCGGGAAGATCCCACATGCCGCGGAGCGGCTGGGCTCGTGAGCTATTGCCGCTGAGCCTGCGCGTCTGGAGGCCTGTGCTCTGCAACGGGAGAGGCCACAACAGTGAGAGGGCCGCGTACCGCAAAAACAAAAACAAACAAACAAAAAAAGGCTCGACGTCTCCAGACCGTTATATCATAGTTGGCAGCCATCATCATACCGCATACAGTTATAATGGACAAGAATGGGCCAGCAGCACTGCCATCATCACAGCTTTTATTCGGGCCTTGATGTTAAGAGTCAAGAAAGGGTGGAGACCAGACCGCACTATTGTTTTCTGTTCATGGGGTGGAACAGCTTTTGGAAGTATTGGCTCATATGAATGGGGAGAGGATTTCAAGAAGGTTCTGCAGAAAAATGTTGTGGCTTATGTTAGTCTCCACAGTCCTGTAAGCGGTAACTCAAGTCTCTACCCTGTAGCTTCACCATCTCTTCAGCACCTGGTAGCTGAGAAAAATAATTTCAACTGTTCCAGAAGAGATGAGTGCCCAGAAACAAATATCAGTTCTGTACAGATGCAAGATGATGCCGATTACTTCATCAACCATCTTGGAGTTCCCACCGTGAGGTTTACTTATGAGGACATCAAAGCATTAGAGGGTCCAAGTTTTCTCTCTGAAGGCTTTTTCCCTAAATGTGCAACAAAAATTGAAGAAATGGATCCTTTTTTCAACCTTCACGAGACCATTACCAAGATCTGGTGTACCCCCAGCAGAGCTTTGTAATAACATTCAGCAGAAAGTGCTTCACAAATGTGTGTGCAGAACAGTGAAAACAAGGTCTTTGGCAAGGCCTCCTAAACATCTCATCAAAACTCCACAGAGGGACTTCCCTGGTGGCTCAGTGGTTAAGAATCCACCTGCCGATGTAGGGGCCACGGGTTCAATCCCTGGTCTGGGAAGATCCCGCATGCCGCGGAGCAACTAAGCCCGTGCACCATAACTGTGGAGCCTGCGTTCTAGAGCCCACAAGCCACAACTACTGAAACCCATATGCATGGAGCCCATGCTCCACAAGAGAAGCCACCGCAATGAGAAGCCCACACACCGCAAGGAAGAGTAGACCCCATTCGCTGCAACTAGAGAAGGCCAGGACACAGCAACAAAGACCCAACACAGCCAAAAATAAATAAATAAAATTAATTTAAAAAAATAACTCCACAGAAAGAAGCCCTCAAGATAAATTAGGAGTTTGGGATTAACATATACACACTTCTGTATATAAAATAGATAATCAACAAGAACCTATTATACAGCACAGGGAACTCTACTCAGCCTTCTGTAATCACCTATATGGTAAAAGAACCTGAAAAAGAATGGATATATGTATATATATAACTGAACCACTTTGCTGTACACCTGAAACTAACATAATGTTGTAAATCCACTATATCCCAATATAAAATAAAAATTAAATGAGTTGGCAAAAAAAAAAACCCAAAAAGCCAAGGACAGCTAGTTGGCAAGCATAGTTCAGTAAACCTTCACTGTAAAATAGAACTATTTTCTCATGCTGGCTTCTTGGTAGAGAACGGGAAGATGGCCCATGTTGTGTAAGACTTTTTACTTACACTCTTTGTCATTTAGCACACATGCTATTATCATGTTAATTTAGATGATGTGATTAGATTTATATGTAGATATGATTGGATTTAAAGAACCACATAGCAGGGTGCTCCTTAATTTTGAGGCCATTCTTTAGTCACTACTCAGGTTTCTCAGGCCGAATAATACCATAAGTTTTTCCCTTCAATGTTTGAAGCATCTTTATGCTCTGATGATCCCTACTGACTGTTAATGAGGATGTATATCCCTGTGCCTGGGGGTGAATCTTGGGGAAATCCCAACTCCAGGACTTCCTTAGATAGTGTAAAAGGCTCCTGCCTCCCAAATCCAGAGTCCTGAACAGTCGTGGAACTTTAATTAATGTTGCATAGGTAACTTGACTTCGTAAAAGCTGCTTTCCATTTTTCGCTGTCTTCTCTCTGTTTCCAAGATGTAACTGGCATTTTTGTTTTCTACAGATAGATGATGCTTGTTCGTCTTTCCTGTCCATGGATCCTCTGCCTCAGGTAATTCCAAATGGAGGTGTTTCACAGTGATGTAAGCATTTGTGTCATGCTGAAATACTCCATCTCTCCCTTTGGACCCATCATTACTTTATGGACTTACTAAAGTGTCAACGTATTAGAAATTATTACAGCATCTGCAGGTAATAATGAGTGCTCTGAGTTTATGGTGTAAAGTGCTAGGGCTTTTATCTCTAAAAAAATAGATTTGCAGATAATATACCCATATTTTTGAAATTAAAATGCTAATTTCAAAATCAAATTCTGTGTTAGATTAAAAATAATGAATCCATTGCTCTCTTGGGGGACTAATATCCTGGCCCTCAATAGAGTTTGCAACCCATGGAGAGATGAACTTACAGAGTCAGACTTAGGAGATCAAAATGTCATTGTAACTGAAAAGTCAACTTGTGAATGTGGCCTTAGATCTGCTGCTAAGTGTGTCTGCCAAAACCACCCCCAGAATTAAACTGAGGTTAGACTGTGACTCAAGCCTCCTGCCAGAATCAGGTTTTCTGCCATGGGGCAGCAGTCAGGCAAGAACAACTGGCCAGGGAGCTGGCTCTCTAAGAGGAAAGAGCTCAACAGAGCGTGCCCGATTTCCTCCTCTGAATCATCTGTCAGGTAACTCACTCCTTTTCCCACGGGAAAGAGTTAAGAGGACTGGGAAGAGAGGAGTGGTGGTCTAGCTTCTGTACCTGGAAATGATACAGACCAGTGTGCTTGGCCTTCCCTAATCAATAGAAATTGACTAGAGTCCAGACAAGAAATTCAGGCAAAGCTTTACTGGGGCCCCTGCTGCAGCAGGGGGAGCTAGAATGAGTAACAGGTGCCCTTGCTCACTCTCTGAGGGGGGCGAGCTAGGTCCTTATATGAGGTGAGGGTAGGGGTGTGTCCAGCGGTCAGGCTGGAGGATTGGCGTAAGTGTTTGGCCCACTCCTCTGGTGGTGTTGAGTGCAGGGAGCACGCTCTGTACCCTGCTTTTGCTCCCCACACCCTGTTTTTGGCCCCCAGCTCTTCAGAAGTGGCAGTAAGGTTTTTTGGTCTGTTTGTATCTTTTTGTTCATAATTTGCCCCAACTGTGCATACACTCAGTTATTTTTAGTCCCACATGGTTTCTTTCTATTTTGTTGGTCAAGGAGAGGTCTGTCCAGGTTCCCGCCTTGCAGCACTGCAGCAAAGGGTCCCAGGTCCCAGCAGTCTCAGAAACACGAGCAGTGGGAAACAAGTGTGTCCTTCTTACACGTCTCTACTGGACGCTGCTCCCTCTGTCTGCAGCTCTGTCTCTGAGTGCAGGTGTAGCAGTGTTAGGCTTGGTGTCTTAACTTTCTTAATCAGCATCCCTAAGTCTCCTGAACAGAGGAGAGGGCTCAGCAGAGGCTCTTGGCTCAACCCTCTCAACACAGTCAGCTGTGTGGCTGGGGCGAACCCCTACATGGTCTGGCCAGGGCGCAATGCCTGTCCTTCACGTAGTCCTTCCAGAATGTCATCCTGGCCAGTGTGGAGAAGCAGCCTTTCTCCCGCCTCAACCGGTTCCTCAGCCTGCAGAGGATCACTTGCAGCAAGTTAGAGGCATTAAGTGATAAAGCAAGACCAGAATCATAATAGACAACATTTATGAATGATATTTCAAATTGCTTGAGGAGCATTGACGGATATATAACATGTGGTGGATATTAATCAGCACACAAGCTTTTGCATTCCATTGGAAATTCAGGAACACCCTCAGAATCACTTGTATGTCTTCAGAATTAAAAGGATGAATTTTAAAGCACTCATCTAAACACCATCAAGGTAAACTAAGCTTTTATTGGATTTGGAGGCTGTACCTTTTGAGGAGAGCTTTGTAAATTTACTATGAAACCTTTTACACTAACTGATATCATTTTTTAAAAATCGTTAATTTCCTGTTAACTATTATTATATTATGTATGTGATTATCTGAATAGTTCTTCAAAACATTTTTACCAAATAGAAAATAAAGGCTCTTTAAAAGTTCCACAAATAAAAAATAAAATATTAAAAATCTCATATGAGAAAAATCCTTAAAGAATAGTTGTAGCTCAGTGAATAATGGCTTCATGTAAAAAGTTGCTGGAGAAAATGCAATTTGTTTTGAAACTTTTTCTTTCAGACTTCAGTCTTGTTGCCAAGCCTCAGCTGGCTTAGAAGCTGTTTTCTAAGGAGACACTCATATAACTAAATTTATTCTTCTTTGAGTTAAGAGACACGTGGTATCACTAGATTTTTTTAAAAATTATTTTTTCAGCATTTCTAGATGGGCCATAAGAAGAATTTTCAGGGATTTATTTCTAGATTTTTCTGGGGGTGAGCTGCATACCCAATCCTGAAGGGAAAAAGTGAGAAAAGATGTATCAGTGTTCAACGCTCTACTGTTTCTCTCATCCAACTCCCAACCATAGGCTTAACAGTCAATACCAGTGCGACACAGGGATACCTATAGATCAGACGACCTAGCCGTGTGTAGTATTGGGCAAGTGACAGTCTCTTAGAATCTCACTTGCTTTATATGTGAGAATAACAACTCCCATCCTGTATATGTCAAGCTGTGTTTTAAAGACAAAGTGTGGGTTATGTATATGAAAATGTTTGATAATTTATTGAAATACTACTTAATTATGAGCCATTTAATACTATTAATAAATATCCCAACAATTTGCATTGGGCAGGCAAACAAATAGAAGAGAACAAAGCAGGCCTTTGACATGCTAGGTGGGATGCTCAGAGACGCTGTTTCATGGCTCCAACTGTATCCCTAAACTATAGCCAATCCTGTTAAACATGTGCTGTTGTTCAAAGGGTGAGGATCTTGCTGGCCCTGAGCGATCCTTTATGACATGTCTTCTGAATTAGCAGTAACTGCAGTTGTTAAATCAAGCTTTACGGGTCACACATTTTTCAGCGCTACTATTGTTAACTAATTGCTCTGTATGTGGCGCTGTGCTAAGAGCTTTACCTACGCGTAATCCTTCCAAGAATTCTGCATTGATGTTGTCATCCCCGATTTACGGCTGCAGGAACTGAAGTTTAGAGAGGTTAGGTAACCCGCCCAAGGTCACACAGCTAATAAAGAGGAGAAATGGAATTTGCACTGCTCTGGAGTTGCAGGCCGCTCAACTCCACAGCCCTACCCCACTCCCACACGGTTTCAGCTCCTCATTATTTCCCATATTTATTTATTAAGTAATCAATTACTCCTGGCGCGACCATGCTGAATTCTGTGCAAGGTGGGTTTCGCCCCTGCTTGTCCAGTTGGGCTCCACCTCACCACACCCAGCTGGCTGCAAACCACAAGAGCCCTGCCCTGCTTCTGTGCTCAGGTGCTTTGAAAAACCTGACCCTGGGGTATGCAGTCAGCAGCCTGGAAGGGTGGGAACTCATATTAGGTGCACCATACACGGCTTCTTTTCCTTCAGACTCCCATTGTTTGCGAGCAATTGAAGGATTTTCAAATTAGCCAGTAATGAGTACTATTCAGCAAGGCTCACCACTTTGGCATGTAGATTCAGACTTTGGTGCAAGGTGGGAAGAATAATCCTTTTTTTGGCACTGCCTTAGTTACTCTCAGTCACAGAATTTCATAGAATTTTAGCAAATACTGAGAATTTTTTTTTTTTGGAGGGGGGCGTGTGTGGGCCTCTCACTGTTGTGGCCTCTCCGGTTGTGGAGCACAGGCTCCGGACGCGCAGGCTCAGCGGCCATGGCTCACGGGCCCAGCCGCTCCGCGGCATGTGGGATCTTCCCAGACCGGGGCACGAACCCGTGTCGCCTGCATCGGCAGGCGGACTCTCAACCACTGCGCCACCAAGGAAGCCCCCAATACTGAGAATTTTGTATCTGGACCCACAGTGGAAGCCTTAATCAGTGCATATAGACAATATGTAACTTTTTTTTTTTCCTCTTTGGAAGGAAGGTTTTACTTTTAGGAGCCAAGTTTTTGTCATGAGAGAAATCAAGGGATTCCAACAGAGTGTCAGTGGGCCACAAGGATTCTATTTGGTGTAGTTGTGTTGCAGGAAGGGGGACCCCTTCCAGGGCCCGAGAGTGGGCTCTTGTCAATTCACTCGTAAATGAATTGTCCGAGGAAACAATTCACTCGTAAATGAATTGTCCGAGGAAACACATGTGCTGACAAAGCAAGAGACTTTATTGGGAAGGGGAGCCCGGGCGGAGAGCAGCTGGGTAAGGGAACCAGGAGAACTGTTCTGCCACATGGCTTGCAATCTCGGGTTTTATGGTAATGGAGCTAGTTTCCGGGTTATCTCTGGCCAATCACTCCGACTCAGGGTCCTTCCTGGTGGCGCGCGCATCACTCAGCCAAGATGGATTCCAGCGAGAAGGATACTGGGAGGTTGGTAGGACATATGTGTAACAGGGAAAAGCCAAATCTGACTACATGTTGGATCTGTTTGTTTTACTTTAACCTTTGCTTCCCATTGCTTTTGTTCAATAAAAGGATATTGTCTCTACATAATGGCCTGCCTCGGGGAACCCTGCCCCTCTGCCTGAATGTTAAACCAAAGTGCCTTTGTTCAGGGAAACATCCAGACCCTGTCCACCTGTGGATGGCTGCAAGAAAGAAGAAATTAACACATCCCCTCCGTGAGGCTGGCCATTCCAGGGGTTATTGCAAAACGTATGGCCTTTTTACTTCCTAATCTCCTCCCCGTCTCTGTGCTATAAAAGAAACTGGCATCCAAACCCCGATAAGATGGTTATTTTGAGACATTAGTCTGCCATCTTCTCGGTCTGCTGGCTTTCCGAATAAAGTCGTATTCCTTGCCTCAACACCTCGTCTCCGATTTATTGGCCTGTTGTGCGGCAAGCGGAGCGAGCTTGGACTCAGTAACATATGGACTGGAGTCTCTTCTCTCCTTTTGACCTTTCCTGAATTCTTCCGGTTGGTACTAGCTTGTTAGTTCCACATTCTTACCAGGACCTCCTGTTGTAAGATAACTCATGCAAGTGGTTACTGTGGTGCCTGGCCAGGGCGGGCAGTTTCGGTCAGTGGTTCTCCTAACGGTTGGAATGTCCTTGTGATCCTAACATTTTATGGTTATCTCTTCTATGCAAATGATGATAACGCAGAAGCATGGCCTATATATCTTCCCATTTCCATTAGGCATCCAATGCCTTGGAGGAGCTTTGCTTCATAATTATGGGGACTCTACCAAAGCCCCAGGTAAGTTTCAAATAGTGTTTAATTTGTAGGCAAAAAAAATTGCTCAGTGGTATCTTGGATTTCCTCCTGGAAGAAAATATACCCAATTTAGGAAGCATGCCAAGAGGAACTAGAAGAGCATAAATTGACTTTGGATAAGAAACAAATACTTCAGTTTCTTCGATGTCTGAGAATTTAGGGTTATATTAATGGAGTTTGCAATCATCTAACTGGAAAATGGTATGTCCCCTTCAAGTATAAGATGTGTTCTAGTTCTGATGAGGGAAATTTGAGGTCATTTTGGCTCTTTCTCTCTTCTTGAATCATACTACAATTGGAGAACAGATGAATTTTTCTAAGCCCAGAGGTTAGGACAGTGTACTTTGTCAGAGAGGACATTAAGAATGCAAAAAAAGCAAACTATATTGTCAATGTCGGTTTGAAAATTATATTCTTACTGTGATGTCTCGGTTTTTATTAAAATTATTATTTGATTCTTGTGTGAAAACTTTTTGTCCCAAAGTGAGGCAATGGGAACTTGAAAAGTGGCATGAGGTACCATACCTCAGTTATGTTCTGTATCTTATAGGTAAAGTAATTTTAAAATTACCTTATTAGGATAAGAGCCTTAGGTTTAGAATGTATTTTTCATTAGCAGTTTAACCTATGATCACAGGTTTGGTCTGACTTCCATGACTTTCACATATGGTAATTCAAAGAAAACTTGATATTTTGAAAGCATAAATGTTTTCTTAAACTAAATAAGTGTTTACAACTGTATTTTTTCCCAATGTTTTTAGTAGTGACATTTTCCAAAACACTTAATTGAATTTTTTCCTAATTAAGAGAAAATAAATGGCAACGGTGTTTATCCATGAGTTTCTATTTATTTTAAAAGCAAATGAGAAAAAAAAGAACAACAAAAAAGGAATGATATGTCTTGTCCTTAAAGACAGACTTTTGTAGGGAGAGAGGACTATAAAAAAGTTTATGGAAGAAAGCAAAAATAACTGATAATCTTGTTCTTTCATGATAACAACTACAAATATTTTGATGTGATTCCTTCTAGTCTTTTCCCCTGAATTTTCTATCATGTGATCATATCAGTATTTCCTATTCCACCACTACTGAACATTTAGGATGTTTCTAGTTTTTCACTCTTATGAATAATGCTGTAGTGAAGATCTTTGTTCATACTTTTATTTATAAACATACTTTTATTTATAAAGCTTTTGATTAATTGCCCATTTATTTTTAGGGTAATATATGCTTAACCAATTGCAGTCTTATGTTTTATGTATAACATATGTGTCATATATTTTAAAAATTATATAATATAATCTTATAATAAATTATAAATTTTAAACTATACATTTATATTATACATATTACCATTTTCTAATATATAATGACATTTCTATATCTCTCTTTTCAATAGGAAACAGATGAAAAAGATAATACCAAAAGGGTAAGGTGATTTCCATAAATATATACATTAGAAAATAATCAAGGAAACCACTAATTATCTATAGTAAAACTCACTATTTTTTTTAACAGTTCTTATTTCATTATTCGAAGACACAAAAGTTGGCCAATTCAAATGCTGTGGTAAGTTGTAGAATTACTTCTTATTAGTAATCACTAGTATTTTTTTTTAAACCTGTTTTTGCAGTTTATCTTAATAGAGTAGATCAAAATTCATGTTTTTTTCTTTAAAAGTTTACATGTGGGTGAACAAATGGAATTCAATATTTATTATACATTTATTTTATATCTCAATAATTTATATCTCAATAATTTATATCTCAATATATTAAATTCATTCAATTATTCATTCAGCAATTATTTACTGTGTATCTACTATGTGCCAAGCGCAATTCTAGGTACTAGAAATATAGCAGTAAATGTCATGCAACTTACATTTTAGAGGAAAGAAAAGCAAATGATTAAGTAAAACATATTGTTTTAGATGGTGATTAGTGCAAGGGAAAAACAGACTTATGCAAAGTCATTTTAAGAATTATTTTAAAAAATGATTGTCAAAAATGTATTTAAATATAACTAGAAATACCACTTGTATTCCTAAGAGCTCCTTATTTGTAAGTAGGCACTTAATTTGAGAATTTACACTCTAAGATTAGCCAGATACCAATAACTTGAATTCATTTTACTTCTAAATTGTGGGGTTTTAGTGGTAGTTTTTCTTTTTGTATGCATGGATTTTTAAAATGCTAACCAATCTACTTTGGTGTTTCAATCTAGAATACTTAATAATTACTTGGCTATAATATTCTTTCTAAGCTTGTGACCCACTAGCATGGACCAATTTATGAAACGAGGAGCATAGTGTATTTTAAACATGTGTTTACCTGTGGGAAAGTAACTGTAACCATAAACTCGGTTTTAAATGTTTATCCCGTTGAATATTCTTACATGTGAGGAGTTGAAAGTTAGGTTATACTGGCTTCAAATGAAATAGGAGTTGAATTGATTAACAAATAACCACTATATGGGGCTTATAGTAGTCCATTTGATGAATGAATTTAATATTTGTGAGAAGGTTCAATTGAAGTCATGCCTTTCAAATGAAACTGTTATCAGGTAGCCGCATGTCTCAAATGTGCTTTCATTTTCTTCTGCTCGGCATCTTTACATCTTGAGAAAATGCATCTTAGTCACATTTTTCACTAGCAATGACACATTGCCATTTTTTTGTGTCTCCTGTTGTCCTGTTCCACATGTTCAATTTAAATGAAATATATATTTTATAAAGAAGGTTACTAGATGTGTGTACAGTATAATCTTCCAGATAAAAATGTTCATGATGGAAAACTGATTCTCACAGAGTTGGTTTCATGTGTCCCAAATCATTCTGAGTAAGTCTGGAAACAGACAGACAGCTTTTTTGCTTCTCAAAGATGCAGGTGGGTGTTCTTGTTGGCTGCTGCAGATGGCACTCAGGCCCTCAGGAAAGAGCATCGTCAATAGAATGACCAAGGTCCCAGCATAAAACTGGAACTTTTATTCCATCTCTTGGTTATTCTCCACAGCTCTTTGAAATGCTCACAAAGGACTGTCTTAGGTCACATCTTTCTTGTTCTTTTTTGTCTGGAGCAAGGATGGTGGGTAAAAACAAAAACAAATAGGAAGCCGTCTTTATGCCCAATGCTGAGAAACCTCTGTGCTCATCACGTGTGTGTGTTCGTGTCTCTCAGTCATCTGTCCTGCATCCGCTGCTGCAGCTCGTTCCACAACTGCATGAGAGAAGAATGAAGAGGTTCAAAGTGGACGTATGTATGCTTGCTTCGCCACTCTGTGTGTGGCAGCCCTTTCTGTTCATTCCCTGTGGTGGTGGTTTATAAGATCTTCTTCTGGGTAAGCCTCATGTAACACCCAGGTAGCCTACAGAAGAGCATCTGTTCGCAGAAGTGTTTTCACACTCAGGAAGAAGAGAACTGTCCTCCTCCCCATTATATGTCCCTTCTAAGCCAGGTTGTGGGCAGTGAGGAAAACCGGGATTAGACTTCCTTCCAAGGGCCGTGCCCCTCCCAGTGAGGAAACCTATTCGTTTTTGGTTTAAGAAAGGACATGGCAGTGTGCCTAGTCATTAGATAGGAATAGGAGTAAAGATCAAGGACCATTTACTGCCCCTCTGTGTACAGGTCGGCAGATGGCTGGAATGACAAGCTTTCTATCCAGGTATTAAAGCATTAACAAGAGTAAGGCTCATGAAGTATTATAAATATATCAGACATTAAACGTAGGTATTTAGTTTTTTCCACAGTTAACAAAAATATGGCCCAAACTCAGTGTCTGTGTTTAAGATGAACATAACTAAGAGGAACATAAATGAGTTAACACATTTTAAACTAGAAACTGTGGCATTTTTTATTGTCCTTTGAAAAGAATCCTAACTCTTTCAATGATGAAAGTTTCTAGGCATTATTTTTAAGTAATGCCTTACATTGTTGGAATGCCTTATAGTTTTTAGTCTTATAGGATCTCATTTTATTCTTTTGACAACTCTGTTGGCACTTAACAAGTATTGTTATCCCCAGTTTACAAAAAGGAACACAACTCAGAATAGTTAAAGGAGTTTCCCAAGATCATAGTAGTAAGTGGGATTAGAGATTATAACAATCTCTTGACTTCCAGTCTAGGCAAATATTTTTTTTTCACTGCTGTTTCCTTTGTAGTCTAATCTTGAATATTTCTATTATTTTACTGTTAAACTTTTTCTTAATTTAAATACCATATTAATTTTATTCTACTACCAAAAGTTTGCAAATACTTTTAAAAACACATACAGTTTAGGCAAATAAATTCATCAAAATTTATTTTTATGATCACTATTTCCTCCCTAAATTCTTCACATCGTTGAACTAAGCTTCCATCATGGAAGACAATACTGCTGCCAACGTTAATGAGAAATGTAAGAGGAACTGTAGTAGCCCCTTAAAATTTTAGAATTTCCAATATGAAAAAAATCAAATCAGTTTTCATCAAACTTTCTAGAAGTAATATATGCTTTTTTGAATTAACTTTTACGTTCTGAAGCGTCTTCCCGACTTATGAATAGTGTAAGATTTCAATTTAAAGATCCAGTTTCTTAAAATACACCAGCAAGTTATTAGTTTACTACAACACTTCAGTGTTAGTATTTGCAAAATCAAAGCTACTCAGTATTGTGGGCAGTTTGGTACTTTATCTAAATGTTCCACCTTGAGTGAGACTATCTATATTTACAGATAACTATATAGAAGTGTGAACTCTGACTTAGTAGTAATATCTTGTTGGACAAATGATAGCTCTTAAAAGTAATTTGCAGCAAGCCAGGTTTTCTAGGAATCTCTAAGAGAAAAAAAATGTAAAACATGAATTTTAGAAAATTACAGTAAAGTATTAATTTTGCTGGGCCTAAGTCACCTAATTTTAAACCATATTTTTGATAGTGAAATATTTTGGGTTCTTAAATAAAATGAGTTTTCAGATTTTAGTGCATTCAAACCCTTTTCTTACATGTTCTTTGCTAGACATCCTCACTTCCATCCCCACATGTTTTTCAGCTCTACCACCCAAATTCTTTTATATACTGTTCTATCTCCAATAAGACTAAAAAGACCTGTATGTTTGAGTTTGAAATTTTTAAATTTGGGCACATTTTAAGTTACATCTGTCCCACTTTTCTTTTTTTCTGTGTAATATAAAAAACACAGCTGTTCTTATATAACCATATAAAGTTTCTATGTGTACATTTTTAAATATTAAAAATTTCAATCTTTAAAGTAATTTGGGGGCATTTAATAATCAGGATGAGAATTAGATATAGAATGTTGAGAATTTAAGATACATTTGTTGTAAAGAAGGGATTTTAGCATTTTAATAGATGTCAGGGCCATTTCTTAGAATCTAAAAATGTGATTGTACTTATATTATGGAATACTTGAAAAAGGTCTTGATGACAAATTTCATATAATTGCTGTCCTGATACTTTTATAACTTGCTATTGAAAATAGGAAGCTATAAGAAACAACTTTATGGAAATCATAAAATGTTAAATATTTTTTTCCATTAACTTTGAAATGAAATATTTTGAGAAAAGAAACACTTCAAAATACATCCATTATGAATAATCAGTTTGTTCCTATTTGGTTTTTTTTTTCATTACCATTTCTGTTAATATAATTTTATTGGGAAAAATCTCTTCTGAAGTCTCATTGAATAAATATAGTTTACCAAATTTGTCCCTCAATTTCAATTTAAATTTCTATAGATATATTATGTATTTTAGCTATGACACAATTCTGTTTTATATTTTTGCCTGTTCATGTGTTAGCACATACAATATGTATTGTAAAGAAATCATTTCATTCTAACAAACTACTGAGGGGAGATTTTAAATATAGTTAATTATCTATGAAATGTCCTCTGCCTACTTATTGATGAATATATGTACAACTGACAAATTTCATGAAAATAGTATCTGTTAGACTAATAAGGAAATTACCTTAAAATACAACACGCTGATGATATTGCTAGTATCACTGAAAATTCTTCCAGTAGAGATACAAAAATTACTTATTGATATGAATTATATACTCAAGTCCTTGATTCCCTCATTGTTTAATTATGATAGCTGAAAATAACTATACTCTCAAGAAGCATTTGCACTTATTTTTACTGTTGTTTGATTTGTAATGCCCTCATTTTCTCTTCCAGGAAGAATTCCAAGGTCCTATTATAGACCAAAGTAGAGGATTCTTTTTATTCAGGGTATGCACATACTATATTTTTTAAAAAATCAATCAACATTGAAAAATGCTTTCACTGTGCATTTCTTTACATTAACTCATAAGTTTTAATTAAGTTTTATAGTTTATCTAAAGATATTTGACAGCAAGTGTTACAGTCTGAGATTCACTTCTGTCACCACCTTATTGCCTTAATATCATGGCATCTCTGATCTCTTCTCTAATCCACTACTCATGTTTGTAAATACCCCAAATGACATTCACCTATTTCACAGTTTAGTTCCATAACATTTCATGTAGGAAATGAGTGTCTGAAAGATGTATTACTCCTTAAGTTCTAATGAAATATTTAGCTAAAGAAATATTAGCCAATGAAATATTTAGCTAAGCAATTACAACTTTATTATAAAGTCTAAGGAGAGCTACATGGTAAGATTTGCATTTTGGAGACTAATTCTAACAATAAATTGGAGGAGAATGGACTGAAAGGAGGAAAATAACAGATATAGATAAGGAAGAAATAATACCACTCAACGAGATCATTAGGCTGCTTTCTATGAAAATTAACTTCTCTCCTTAGTTACATTGATTTGTTTCTCACTTATTATTTTCCAGCCACGCAATGGAAGAAGGTCAGAAGATTACATTTAAAATGGTATGTGCATCACAATTCAACCCAGTTTGAAAATTTCTGTCATTTTCAGATCTTCACAAGTTAACCTATGCTCAGTTTATTTCTATTATTTGATTGCATGTGTACATTAATATTCTATATAAATACTGCAAATATAGAGGCTGTGAGGACTTCATATGATGTAAAATGCTAGTATTTTAGGGCCAGATTTGCTTTGCCCATGTCATGCATTCCTCACAATATGTCACAATAGTTGTCATCAGTTTTGCAGACACTGACCTAATCATCATTTACTGTGCAAGTAGAATGTGTCAGGGATCATGTTCTTATTTTGGTAATCAGTGTCCACAATAGTGGGCCATAACTTACAGACTGGATGCATTTCTGACTTCCAAATGACCTATATTCAAAGATTCTTTATAAGAGCTGTGATTTACCATTTCCAGAGAACTAAGAAAATGTGGAAAGACATGAAAGCATGACTTCTACTTTGGGACTCGCAGAGTTTCCACCTCAATGCTGGAGATACAGTAGACACTTAGTAGCTATTGAATGGCCCTACACATTTAATAAATATGTTAATCTTAATATCTTATTAGGCTATGAATTTTAAAATTAAATGCAAATGCACATTGATAAATTTACACCACAGAAATAAAACTATATTCTACTAACTGTATGTAATCCTCAATGCAGATTCTATGCTGAACATATTTTTGCAAATATTTCATTCATATAATTTATCTCCACCCTTTAATACATACATATTTAGCTTAAGAATGTAAAATTCTTAATATTTTCTCATAGAAACGAAAATCAAAACACGTTATTTCCAACTAAAGAAGATAACACCAAAATTATACAATATCTAGAAAATGAAGATAATGAAAACACTACACGTTAAAACTTATGGGACTCTGACAAAACCATATTTAGTGGAAAATTTAAGGCTTTAAACACTATCAAGCAAGAAAAAGTGAGTGAATTAGGAATTTGTCATTAAGTTAAAAAGAACAACAAGGTGAACCTCAGGAAAGCAGAGGAAGAAAATTATAAAATGAAAGATGAAATTAATTAATTATAAAATAGTAAAATACAACAATTGGTAAATAAACCAAAAATCTTATTCTTATCAAAATCTTATTCTTTATAAAAAATGAAATAAACTATCCTAATTTTCCTAGCCTAATCAATGAAAAGAAGAAACCATAAATATACAAAAATACAAATGAAAAGAGGGAAATTAAAACAGATACAGAAGAAATGGGAATCATAAGAGTTCTTTTCAAATCTCTGTGCCTATCAGTTTGAAAACCTAGATAAAATGGAGAATATACAATACAGTAGACACTACCAAAATTGACCTCAGAAAAAAGAAAAAAATATTCTAAGCATACTGATGGCCTTGGAAAAAAAATCGAGAATGTTATCTAGAAACTCTCCCCTCAAGAGTACTAGGACCAGGAATTTCGGATTTTTCTAGCTCAGAGAAGGAAGAAAAATTTCAAAATATTTTTATGAAGTCAGCAAATACTAATACCAAAACCTTACAAAGTTAGCATAAGAAAGGAAGCTGTAGGTCAATCCTGTTTATAAATATCAATGCAAACATTTAAAAGAAATATTAGTAAATAGTATTCAGCAATACATTGAAAGAATTATATGACCCCATGAAGTGAAGTTCATTCCAGCAACTAAGATGGTTCAATATCAGGGAGTCTATGAAAATATTTTCACCATTAAAAGAAAAATTACACAATCAACTCAGTACAGGCATACCTCCATTTTATTGCACTTTGCTTTATCGTGCCTCACAGATATTATGTTTTTTACAGTTTGAAGGTTTGTGACAACCCTGTGTTGAGCAGTTCTATCAGTGTTGTTTTTTCCAAAAGCATTTGCTCATTTCGTGTCTTATGCCTCTTTTTGGTAATTCTTAAAATATTTCAAACTTTTTCATTATCATTATATTCGTTATGGTGATCTGTGATCAGTGATCTTTGACGTTACGATTGAAATTGTTTTGGGGTGCCATGATCCACGCCCATGTAAGATGGCACACTTAATTGATAAATATGTGTGTTCTGACTGCTCCACTGACCAGCCATTCCACGGTCACTCTCCCTCTCGTCAGGCCTCCCTATTCCCTGAGACACAAAAATATTTAAATTAGGCCAATTAATAATCCTACAATGGCCTCTAAGGTCTCAAGTAAAAGGAAGAGTTACACGTCTCTCATTTTAAATTGAAAGCTAGAAATGGTTACGCTTAGTGAGGAAGGCATGTCAAAAGCCGAGATAGGCCAAAAGCTAGGCCCCTTGTGCCAAACAGCCAAGTTGTGAATGCAAAGAAAAAGTTCTTGAAGGATATTAAAAGCGCTACTCCAGTGAACGAGTGAATAAGAAATTGAAGTAGCCTTATTGCTGATATGGAGAACATTTCAGTGGTCTGGATAAAAGATCAAACCAGCCACAGTGTTCCCTTGAGCCAAAGCCTAATCCAGAGCAAGGTCCTAACTCTCTTCAATTCTGTGAAGGCTGAGAGAGCTGAGGAAGCTGCAGAAGAAAAGTTTGAAGCTAGTAGAGGTTGTTTCATGAGATTCACGGAAAGAAGCTGTCTTCGTAGCGTAAAAGTTCAAGTTGAAGCAGTAAATGCTAATGTAGAAGCTATAGCAGAATCCAGAAGATCTAGCTAAGATAATTAATGAAGGTGGCTACACTGAACAACAGATTTTCAGTGTAGACAAAACCACCTTCTATTGAAAGAAGATGCCATCTAGGACTTCCAAAGCTAGAGAGGAGTCACTGCCTGGTTTCAAAGCTTTGAAGGACAAGCTGACTCTTGTTAGGAGCTAGCGCAGCTGGTGACTGTAAGTTGAAGCCAGTGCTCACTTACCATTCAGAAAACCCTAGGGCCCTTAAGAATTATGTTGAATCTACTCTGCCTGTGCTCTAAAAATGGAAAAACAAAAGCTAGATGACAGCATATCTTATGCAACAAAGTTTATTGACTATTTGAAGCCCAGTATCGAGACATACGGCTCAGAAAAAAAGATTCCTTTCAAAATATTACTGCTCATTGACAGTGCATCTGGTCATCCAGGCACTCTGATGGAGATGTACAGTGAGATTGTTTTCAAGACTCCTAACACAACATCCCATGGATCAAGGAATAATTCCTTCAAGTCTTATTATTTAAGAAATGCATTGTGTAAGGTGATAGCTACCATAGATAGTGATTCCTCCAGTGGATCTAGGCGAAGTATAATAAATTGAAAACCTTTCGGAAAGGGTTCATCATTCTAGATACCATTAAGAATATTTTTGATTCATAGGAAGAGGTTAAAATAACAGGAGTTTGGAAGAGCTGATTCTAAACCTCATGGATGACTTTGAGGGTTCAAGACTTCAGTGGAGGAAGTAACTACAGATGTGGTAGAAATAGCAAGAGAACTCGAATTAGAAGTGGAGCCTGAAGATGTGAGTGCATTGCTATAATCTCATGATAAAACTTTAACAGATGAGCAGTTGCTTCTTATGGCTGAGCAAAGAAAGTGGTTTCTTGAGACGGAATCTACACCAGTGAAGATGCTGTAAAAATTGTTGAAATGACAACAATTTCAATGACAGGGATTTAGAATATTACATAAACTTAGTTGATAAAGCAGCAGCAGGGGGACTTCCCTGACGGTCCAGTGGTTAAGACTCCACACTTTCACTGCAGGGAGTGCAGGTCCGATCCCTGGTGGGGGACTAAGATCCTGCAGCCAAAAAGAAAAAAAAAGCAGCAGCAGCAGCAGCAGGGTTTGAGAGGATTGACTCCAATTTTGAAAGAAGTTTTACTATGAGTAAAATGCCATCAAACAGCATTGCATGCTATCAGAGAAATTGTCCCTGAAAGGAAGAGTCAATCAATGTGGCAGACTTCATTGTTGTCTTATTTTAAGAAATTGTCACAGTCACCCCAGCCTTCAGCGACTAATACCCTGATCCCTCAGCAGCCATTAACATCTGGGCAAGACCCTCCACCAGCAAAGAGATTATGAATCTCTGAAGGCTCAGTTGATGGTTAGCAATTTTTAGCAATAAAGTATTTTTAAATTGAGGTATGTGCATTGGTCTTTTTAGACATAAAGCTACTGTGCACTTAATAAACTATTGTATAGTGTAAACATAACTTTTATATGCACCAGGAGACTAAAAAATTTGTATGACTTGCTTTATTGAGATATTCACTGGAACTGAACCTGCAGTATCTCTGAGGTATGCCTGTAGATGCTTTCAGTGAAGTTCCATGTCAATTTCTAATGTTTTCAAAGAAGATCCTGTAGAAAGAGATGAATCTTTATTAACAATATTTATATAATGGTCTGAAACAAAGTCAGTAGAAGACTTGATAGTAAAACATTTTAGAGTATTTCTATTAACATCAGAAACAAAACAAGGATGCTCTGTTCTCTTTTATTTCATATAGTTCTTATGCATTAGCCAACTCAGACAAGAAAGTAATAAAAGATACAAATATTGGAAAAGTGAAGAAAAAATTTTATGTTCTCATGGGGCATAATTATGAACTTGAATTTTTAAACTATATTTGGTATTAACTCATGTTTCAACAAAGGCTTGTTATGTTCACATCAAGAATATGAGCAGGGCTTCACTGGTGGCTCAGTGGTTAAGAATCTGCCTGCCATTGCAGGGGACACAGGTTCGAGCCCTGGTCCAATAAGATCCCACATGCTGCAGAGCAGCTAAGCCCGTGAGCCACAATTACTGAGCCTGTGCTCTACAGCCCGTGAGCCACAACTACTGAAGACTGCGTGCCACAACTACTGAAGCCCGCGTGCCTAGAGCCCGTGCTCTGCAATAAGAGAAGCCACTGCAATGAAAAGCCTGTGCACCACAACGAAGAGTAGCCCCTGCTCGCCACAACTAGAGAAAGCCCGTGTGCAGCAACAGAGACCCAACGCAGCCAAAAATAAAAAAATAAATTTATTTTAAAAAAAGAATATGAACAATCATATTCCTAATTTTTCCTGTTTCAAGGAACTAAGAACAAAAAGTTAATGGAAAAGAACTGTATTTTATAATATTACAAATGTTGAGGCATTTTATAAAATGTGAACAAAAGATAGTTTAATACTAAATGGAAAAAATGTCTGATTTTAACACTAAACTAAGTGTTAGAGTGCTCATAAATGTGAAATGGAATTTAATCCATGATTTGATCAAGTTAGCAAAAAGTTCTCTCTGAAACTGAGAAAAATAGCTTTATTTGGATTGTTTCCAAGATTAGGGCCCACATATACTAATTCACTCAGGATTTCATTTTATCTTGTCAATAGAGAAACACTTCAATAATAATTTTTCTTTTTTTTTCTCATCTGATTATCTGAGATCTTACTCTGTCCTGGTGACTTATATTTATTTAGACTATGGTTAGATATAAAATAGGATGATTTAGTCACAAATACATGAGGAATAAATGCAACATATTCATAAATCTTATTGGCATCAATGAGCTTTAGGAAACTACTTTTATACAGTTAAATAATTTTTGTAAAACTTTGGAAAATACTGGCATACAGAATAAGCATTTCATCAGAGAGAGATTAAATGATAATTAAAAATATGCAGATTGAAGTATAGCTGAGAAATACCTCAGATGCCAGTTTTATCATACATGACAAAATATTTATAGAAATGTCTCTATATAAAGGAAGTGTATATAGACTTGTATATATGCTCATTATATACATACATTCATATACCCATTTATACTTGAATCTAAATTCAATTTTTTTTTAACAGAATGCCAACTATTTTCTGCAGAAACAACGCTATGGAATACAAGATGTACTGACATTTTTTTCTTCTGAAAAACAATCCTTGCTAAGTTTAACATGTTTGAGAATCCCTGTGTTGTAAGCATTCTCAGTAAAAGTTGATTGAGATTGAAATGTTTAATTTGTTGAAAATTTAAAAAGCATCTTAAAATATTTTTTCTTAGTGTTGTAATGATAGATAGTGTATAATAAAGCTGTGAATAATTATGTTCCTTAGATCCTTGAGGCTGTTGATGGTACTCATATACAATGCTCTTTTGATATTTTTATTAAAGGCAGTCAGTAGAACTGAGTTTTAATGAGCGAATTTAGTTTATTCTATTTGGATTTCTTCAGTGACAAAATCACCAGCTCTTACAAAATACCAGGATACCAAATAGCTAACGATCTTAGAACATGAATACCAACTAAAACTATACTAGTTGGAGGATTTGGCCATGATCCATCCAATATTCCAATAAACAAGTTCTGATATATACACTGTAAAATAGATGTCTTATTGCTACTAACATAACAGGAGGCCAGCTTTTTCTACCAAGTAGTAGTATTAAGTTTATCTTTTTTTTTATTGGAATATAGTTGATTTACAATGTTGTGTTAGTTTCTGCTGTACAGCAAAGTGAGTCAGTTATACATATACATATATCCACTCTCTTTTAGATTCTTACCCCATATAGGTCATTACAGAGTATTGAGTAGAGTTCCCTATGCTATACAGTAGGTTCTTAGTTACCTAGTTGTTTCACCTTGCAGCATCTGAAAGGCAACCAGCCTTGTCCAAAAAGTATGCAGTCTTACTGGTAGAGAATCATGAACACAGTGGGTGAACTTTTTACATCAAATCAGTGTCTAGTGGGCACAATTAACCTCATATGGATGTTGAGATTCTCTCCCTTCAGGTTCCCCTGGGTTTTCCCTTCAGATTCCCCTGGATTTTCCCTTCTGACCTGGCCTCTTGGATAACAGCCTACTCTACCAGCCGGTTGCTGGCGGATTAGAGAAGGCTGGCTCTCTGTGTGGATAGGATTAGTTCTTACATTGTTCAGAGTACCTAACAAGCCTTTGTCTTACTAACGATGACCCCTGATTATAGCTTAAATTATGCCTTTTTCTAACAGAGTCCCTGAATTTCACTTCTTGTCAACCCACGTGAAGAACATGAGAAAGAAGGAGCAGAAGAGAACAAAAAGTATCTTCTTTAAAAAATGAATTGCCTAGATGAGATGCAGACTTGAGACAGAGAATGTTGCCAGAGCTGCTCCAGGTCTTTGCTCAAAACCTGCCAACCCCCACTTTTAGCAAGAGTTAACATAAATCTTTAAAGGGTCCAGAAATAAAAAAGGAAGCTACAAACAAACAAACAAAAACCAGATGGATCCAGCTAGGACCAAGATGGTGACAGATCTGACCTCCAACAGACCCTGAATCTCATTATATGCTGATTTTACTACATTTGCATATTAAATGACATACCTACTGGTGGCCAAGACTGGATATTAAGGACCAAAAAAGGATAAAAAAGGGTGGCACTCCATTCCCTTGGAAAAAACTCTGCCTCTTCCCCAGGAGACTAATGCATATGCCTCCCCATCATTAACCTCACTCCTCCTCCCTTTGTCTTTACTCTTTAAAATTAAAGCCCTCTGGACACGTGGGCAAGAAGTAGATCTGTGAACTTAGTTCCTGCTTCTGCATTCTTTGGCCACTGAATAAAGCTTGTGCTGCGTTGATCTCAGCTTTGGCTTCATTATTTGGCTGCTCGAATGTGAATGGAAAAAGAACCCTCCCCCCGCCAAGGCAGAGAGCCATTGCCCAGCTAGGGGCTGAGCAGGGTCTATAGGACTTAATTCTGTAACAAAAGGGCTCTAAAGCTCTAAATGCATAGGCAGTGTTAGCTAGTGCTATGCACAGTAATTCAACTAGCCTGGATTTTAGATTGTCAAAATAAGAAAGGGAGTTGACTGCTAATTCAAGCAGCAGCTCCCAGGGCCTGTCAGGAATCTAGAGAGACTTGGCCCGCTTACATTTTGGGGGGCTCCCCTGCTATTAAAAAGAAGAAGGAGAAGAAGAAGAAAGAGGAGGAGTAGAAGGGGAATGAGGGAGGAAGGGGGGAGGGGAGAGGAGGAGGGGAATGAGAAAAAGAAGAAAACGTAACAAAACATGGTTACAAAAATAGTGTGATGTTTTAAAATATTTTATATTTAATATTAATATTTTACACACAAAACAAAACATATAGGCTATTAGGAGTGTACGATTTGTATTAACTGGGCACTACAGACCGAGTAGTCCAGTGCTGAGCCCAAGTTTAAAACTGTGTCACTAAAAACACTTTTCCTTCTTTTCCAAATCTTTTCGCATCTTTGTGACCATGGGTATAACCTTATTTGGCAATAACATCATATGTTTTCCTCATGTTCCTGGCAGCTCCCAGTAAACACCCTTCCCTTCAACTAAACACCAAGGAACCAAACTGCCTAGGTTTCCTACCTAAAGTCTGAGCTTCTGTCTCCTAAAGCAATGGGTTTTTAAGGTGGTGGCAGAGAGCCATTTGAGAATCTGATGAAAGCTCTGGTCCTTAAATACCCCCCAAAATTTACACATACAACACAATTATGTGTGCATCGAGGGCTGGGGCTACGCACCCCCTGAAGTCTATCCAAATATAGGCTATGGGTTCCACGTTAAGAACTTCTACTCTGAAGAGTTCTCTCCCCAGGATTTTGTTACTTCTCCATGAAGACAGGACTCAGGGATTGAACGGTGCCGGAGGCACGGAAACAACGCGTGATTTTGGAGGTGGTGGAGGGAAGGGTGGGAGGAATGCCGGCACCAGTATCATGAACGGAAGAGGCGCTGCTTGGGATAAATGCCCAAGACCAGGTGCGTCAGTACCCACAGCCACCTCCTAGGCCACGCCTCCGCGTTGCCTGGCAACAGAGCTGCGCCAGGCGCACGTGCGTCAGAGGCCCTTGTTCTCCCGTCTCCCTCCCCGTGGGCAGTGGGAACAGCTAGGACCTCGGCGGGCTCCCCTGTGGCTTCGAGGGGACGTCGGAGCCAGGAGTCCCCGCCAGGAGTTAGACGACACCGGCGTGTGAGGGGCGAGGCGGAACACCATGCAGGTGGGAGTCGCAGCCTACGGCGAGCCTGGACACCCCGGCGGGGTCCCTGGCTGGGCCTGAGGCTGAGCACGATGGGGAGGGCGGCCTACAGGGGTTAGGTTCTAACATTTGTTTTCAGCTTGCGTCTCTGTCACGATTGGAGAGAAATTCAAATTACCTCTAGGATAACGCCGTTTTTTCAACACTCAAGAAAGACTTCCGTTTGTCGCTGGAGAAAGCCTTTGGATTGCGTTTCACACCTATATCCTGGAAATCTTACTGCTGCGCTATTTCTGACTTAAGAAATAGACCGTCAGCTTTAGCCCAAGTGTAATTAAATTTAAGTATCCTGCCCCACTACATTTTAAAAAGGTCAGAGAGGAAACCCTAATAAGTCGCATCTGTCTTGAGAAAGACCAGCTGTCCCTGGAGTTTCTCCTACCTGATCACAAAAACTCTGTTAAACTTCCATTAATTCGTAAGAAGGTTGCTCCTCTATCTAAAGCTGCATTATTAAGCAGAAGGCTGTGCTTTTATTTCCTTTTTTTAATCAGAGTAAAATTCTCATTTCCAACTTCAGAAAAGCTTCTTCCCACCTGCTATCTCAGATTAAAACCACTGTGATTTTTCTAGTTTTACATATTTAATTTTGGAAATCGTTTATGCTGTATCATTTATTAGGATATTTTGAACACAAATTACATATAATTTTAAAGGGTATTCCTTTTGTGTTAATAATAGATTCCTAGCAAGTGCATTTTATTCCCTATGTAAAAACATTGCAAATTTTTCCTGATTTTTGTCTGCTCTTCAAGAAATAGGCTGAAATGTAATTGAGAGTAGAGACGACAGCATATTAATCTTTGTTCATTTATTTATTCATTGATTTATTCAATAGCCAGTTTATTCAGTGCTTATGTGTAGTTGTGGACTTGTTCTGAAAGAGCTTACTGTGGGGGAATAAGAGAGAGTCAGATATAACTGTGTCATGATAAATGCCATAATACCTTTATCAAATAGATTGCGGTGCCTATTTCTACTTCTCTTATTACAATTTCATAGATAATTTCTAAAAGTGAAGGGAAGATCAGAGTATAGAGCATTTACTATTAACTCCCATTGCAACTAACTCCCAGATCAGTTAAGGAAGAGCAGTCACGGAGAGGTATGAATAAAACCATAAGTATGTGATATCATGAATATCAAGAAAGAGTGTTTTAACAAGAAGAGAATGACACACTCTCCCCAGTTCTGCCTAAGAGATCAAATACAATGAAAATCCATTGAAAATAACAATATGGAGCTCATAGGTGAGCTTAGAACAGTTTTGAAAGGGCTGTTGGAGGTAAAAGCCAAATTGGAGTAGGTTGAAGAGTGAATGGGAGGTGGAAGTGGTTACAGCATATATAGACAATTATTTTATGAAGTCTGAGTAGGAAGGAGAAAAGAGAGATAGGGTGGTAGGGGGTGCAAAGTGCAGGGAGGGTTTTTTAAAAAGGTGACTGCTGGATTTTCTGATAATAGAGGGCTCAGTTATTTGGACCAACTCTCCTGCTGAATACAAGTAAAAATGCTGGCTAGAATGTAAAACCTATCTCCTTAAAAGCATCAGAGATAACGTGATAGTAAACGATGAGACCAAAATCAAAGGGAAAGTGGAAAAGCAGGTGAATGGATTTCCAGAGCTTTAAAGCCAGTTTGACCACAAGGCCATCTTAGCAATCTGCAGTTCTTCCCGGATGTAATCACTGGGTGATGAGGAATCAAAGGGTATGGTCCATGAAAGCATGGGAAACTAATAGGAGTGTGAACCAGGTATAAACCCATGTCTAGAGGAATTCAGGGAAGGTCATCTTGATGCCTAGTGGAGCAGGGGAGAAAAAGAAAAGCAGTACAACCTATCCCCAAGAAGGTGTGGCTCAAGAGAGCTCTCACATAGATTGCAACCTAAGGCATATTGTCTGGGTGATCCAACAAACTTCAAACTGTGAATTTGATATAAATTAGTTATATACTGTAGTGCTCGTAAATACCTGGAAGAAATAGCAAACCCTCGTGCAGGAAGACATCTTTACGTTAGAATTCATGGAGATAAGTTTTCAAGGACATCAAGCAGAAATCAGTCAAAAGTAACCAAGGGAACAGGGCACAAGGGAACAGGGTACAAGGGAACAGGGCACAAGGGAACAGGGCACTATGAGTATGAACCAACAAAAACAGACTTGCAGAGACTTCAGTTATCTGAATGATCAGAAACAGGTATAAAATAACTATGCTTATTATGTTTAAAAAAATGAAAGACCAAATTGAAATTATCTTCAAAGAGTAGGAGACTGTAAAAAGTGACCATAAAATTTGATGAAGACATTTCTATACACTACAATGAATAATAAGAAAGGAAATTAAGAAAACAATTCCATGTATAATTGCATCAAAAAGAATAAAATACTCAGGAATAAACATAAACAGGGAGGCAAGAGACTTGTACACTGAAAACTACAAAATGTTGCTGATAGGATCAGTGTCCTTATAAGAAGAGGAAGAGACACTAGAGCATGCTCTCTCTCTTTGCACACACACAGAGGAAAGGCTATGTGAGCACACAACAAGAAGGTGGCCTCCTGCAAACTAGGAGAAGAGTTCTCACCAGTAGCAACCCTGCTGGCACCTTGATCTTAGACTTCCAGCCTCCAGAATTGTGAGAAAATAAATTTCTATTTAAGTCACCTGGTCTGTGATATTCTGTTATGGCATCCCAAGCAGACTAACACAGGCTGATTGGGTGTCCTCAAAACACGGCAACTGGTTTCCCCCCAGAGCAAGTGATGAGAGAGACTGAGAGGAAAAAGCAGCAGCAGTGCCTTTTGTGGCTTGGTCTTAGAAATCACGTAGTGTCACTTCTATCATATTTTCAGTTTATTAGAAGTGAGACAGCAGGTTCAGCGTATACTCAATGGAAGTGGGTTAAGCTTCAACTCTCAAAAAGGTGCATGAAAGAATTTGTGAATATATTTTAAAATTATCACAATAGTTTAAAAGAAGATTAGATATAGTTGAGGGCGTTTTACAATCATATGGCATGGGGTGGCAGAAAACTGCCATTTTAATAGAGATGTTGGAGGGCAAAATCCTGGGCTGGTAGAGTGGTGGGAGAATCGTGAGGAAGTCTCAGAAAGGAAATTAACACAGAAGGGATGATCCTTAAATTCTGCATATAAAATCCACACAAATCCTTATTTGTCAGCCAAACTCCATATATATATAGGAGGTCCCAAGATGCCTGGCAAAAAGCAGCCATTAGAAGGTCAAAGAACTGAACTGATCTGAGGTTTTGGCTGCTGCCCATTTCAACTGAGGTAGTTTGATGTTTGAGTCCAACGAAGTTAACTGCCTTCAAGTATGAAAATCAACATACTTTAGAGGAACATAAAAAAATCATAAATTTCTATGATGTATCGTCCTGAATGTCTAGTATGCAATAAAAATTATATAAGCAAAAAGAAAAAGAATGAAAAGCCATATTCAAAATGGGACTCGTATTCAAAAGCAAAGCAAGCAATGGAAACAAATCCTGACACTATCCAGATGTTGATATTAGCAAATGAAGAATTTAAAGCAGCTATTATAAATATATTCAAGGACTTAAAGGAAAATGAATTAACAGTTGGAGAATCATAACAGAGAAATAGAAACAGTAATAAAACAAATAGAAATTCTTTTTTTTTTTTTACATCTTTATTGGAGTATAATTGCTTTACAATGGTGTGTTAGTTTCCGCTTTATAACAAAGTGAATCAGTTATACATATACATATGTTCCTACATCGCTTCCCTCTTGCGTCTCCCTCCCTCCCACCCTCCCTATCCCACCCCTCTAGGTGGTCACAAACCACCGAGCTGATCTCCCTGTGCTATGTGGCTGCTTCCCACTAGCTATCTATTTTACGTTTGGTAGTGTATATATGTCCCTATGTATGTCTCTAGTCCCTATGTCTCTAGTAGGTCTGTGTCTTTATTCCTGTATTACCCCTAGGTTCTTCATGACACTTTTCCCCCTATATTCCATATATATGTGCTAGCATACGGTATTTGTCTTTCTCTTTATGACTTACTTCACTCTGTATGACAGACTCTAGGTCCATCCACCTCACTACAAATAACTCAATTTCGTTTCTTTTTATGGCTGAGTAATATTCCATTGTATATATCTGCCGCATCTTCTTTATCCATTCATCCGATGATGGGCACTTAAGTTGTTTCCATCTCCGGGCTATTGTAAATAGAGCTGCAATGAACATTTTGGTATATGACTCTTTTTGAACTATGGTTTTCTCAGGGTATATTCCCAGTAGTGGGATTACTGGGTCATATGGTAGTTTTATTTGCGGTTTTTTAAGGAACCTCCATACTGTTTTCCATAGTGGCTGTACCAATTCACATTCCCACCAGCAGTGCAAGAGTGTTCCCTTTTCTCCACACCCTCTCCAGCATTTATTGTTTCTAGATTTTTTGATGATGGCCATTCTGACTGGTGTGAGATGATATCTCATTGTAGTTTTGATTTGCATTTCTCTGATGATTAATGATGTTGAGCATTCTATAATGTGTTTGTTGGCAGTCTGTATATCTTCTTTGGAGAAATGTCTATTTTGGTCTTCTGCCCATTTTTGGATTGGGTTGTTTGTTTTTGTGTTATTGAGCTGCATGAGCTGCTTATAAAGTTTGGAGATTTGTCAGTTGCTTCATTTGCAAATATTTTCTCCCATTCTGAGGCTTGTCTTTTGGTCTTGTTTATGGTTTCCTTTGCTGTACAAAAGTTTTGAAGTTTCATTAGGTCCCATTTGTTTATTTTTGTTTTTATTTCCATTTCTCTAGGACGTGGGTCAAAAAGGATCTTGCGGTGATTTATGTCATAGAGTGTTCTGCCTATGTTTTCCTCTAAGAGTTTGATAGTTTCTGGCCTTACATTTAGGTCTTAAATCCATTTTGGGCTTATTTTTGTGTATGGTGTCAGGGATTGAT